CAAGCTGCGCTTTTCTTGCTTCTGCCGCCTCGCCTCGAGCCCCCCCTTGATCTCAGTCCGAGGGTCAAGCGGTCCGGTCCCCTCCGTCGGGAGCTTCAAAATCGTCCACCGTTTGACGGCCTAAGGGTGAAGCTTTGGTTCCCCGGATGGTCAAGTTTCTAACTGCGCGCTAGGTCACTAGTCCGAAGCCGCGCAAACATCCCCTCTTCTGCGATAGACCTGACGGCAAGGGGTCTCACCGGCTTCTCAGCCGGGCTGAAGCCAACAGCGATGTAATTAACTCAATGGGTGGCGAAGCTGTCGCATTGTACATACGTCCCGGCATCCACGTCCATCGGTGGCTCCCCAGCCTCAGCAGCACGAGGATCCACGTCTGCCGACTGCCCGCCCCTCCCTCATGCAAATGAACGCCATGACAAGGTAGACGCCCCGGCCGTGCCTGCCAAGGCGCGGTTTTGCTTTGCCTTCAAGCTTTCTTAGCCCGCGAACCCCGGACCGGAGTGGACGCCGTCACGCCAATGCGACGAGCCCATGGGCACGCGGCGTGGTGCCACCGCCGGTTGTTCGACGACACCCGTCACACCTGTTACTGCTCTCTTGCCCCGAGCGCCTCCACGCCTGGTGATGCCCTTGCACGAAGGCTATTGTACGGGCGTGTGACCTCGCACTCGTCTTCGACTACGAGCTGGCCTATGGCAACGGGCGCCCGCCGGCGCAGCCTGGTCATGCCGGCAGCATCGCAGGACCGTCGCCTGACGAGACCGCCCCCCTTCCCACGCCCGAACAACAGCGAGTGGGATGGGACTTGTAGAAAACACATTTGGCCCATGACGGCCCGGCGGCCCCGGCGCCAGCGGCGGCGGGACGAAGCAAGCAGGGCTCCAGCCACTGGGCTGTGACTGCAGCTATCGTTCAGTGTTTTAGATCGGCCCCCCTGGCTCGACTTCACTTATAGTCAACACCCACGACGCACACCCCTCCCCCGGTTGGACAAGACGAGGCGCCAGCCGCCCAATGCTGCTCAGACAGCAGCCATGGCACGGTCTCATCCCGCGCCGTGTCACCAGTCGAGTGTGAGGCCACGCCACGCTTGAGGCTCGTCGTGGCTCGACAAAGGCCGTGCCTCGGCTGCTGTCAACCAAGGATATAACACCTGCGGCCGCTCCCGCCTCCGTCCCGCGTCCCACCCCGGTGCCACATCCGCCAGCGACACCATCACCGCCAGCGCCCTTTTAGGCTGTTTGAGCCCATCGTTGCTTCGCATCACCAGCTCAACGACGGCACCGTGACGCGTGATTCCGGCGTTATATGTGATTGTGTTTTACATATATCACCAAGGAGACCGACCCTTCTCGACTCACTCCATGCAACAAAGGATTCGACACTACGCAGGACAAAGCTTATTGTCGGGCTTCGTACCTTTGGTTTTGCAGCCAAGAACCAAGTCGATATAAAGGCCGGCCTCTGCCAGATCCATTTGGCGTATCCTGGCCAGCACTGCCCTCCACACTCTTCGGATCTTGCCTCCATCGGTTCTACTGCCCCTGGTGGTCGCTACCGCCGCCATCTTTCTCACTTCCAGCCCCAACTCTACTGTACGTCTGGCCTCCTCCCGCCGTATCCGACCAGGCTGACATGGACGCCAGCTGCCACGACTAGCAGTCCGTCTTCACGATGTGCGACTTCACAAAGAATTATTACATCTACACGTCCTGCACAGACCCAGGCGCCCACTTCTGCAGCACCTCGACAGACGGCAACCGCAATCAGTCATGTCCGTCAGGGCCTCATGAACGCTACATTGTTCTTCCTGAAACCTGCCCGCTATGTTGCAAATGAGCCGCCGCGACTGAAAAGCCCATGGTCTGCTGATCACGGGTAACAAGCACCATTGGCTTTGATCACTCTTCCCAAAGGGTCGCAACCCGGGCCTATCGGACCCGATCCCGCGGCGGGAGCACTTGCCACCTGCCCTTGAAGAAGCTACGTGGCGTTGTCTCGGCAGGCAGCACATATGGTATTGCAGGCGTTGGGGTATCGCGCAGAGTCCAGCAGTCGCACGCTCGTGGTTTCAGCCTGGAGGTATCATGCGGCGTTTTGGTGTCGAGATCTTCGCGGGTGCATCATCTCGTTCCGCAGGGCAGGCCTGCGGCCTAGGCATGCCGCAATGAGAGTGTCATTATTTCTCTTGTGCCGGACTCACGTTTGGCCTACTCAGGGCGGCATTGAGCGCGCGAGTTTCTTCTTTCTTAATTCCTTACCCCAATGTCTCACCGTTATGGGTAATTATTCTTGCCTTGATGTTCTGCATAAACTTCATACGTCTCACCCGGGAGCTTTCTGGGCGTGCCTGCTCACTCCGCTGAGTGAGCCCTCAAGGTTCGAGTGTCCTGGGCATAACCCCCGTGCACATCATACCGCCGGGAGGATGCCAGGAGGTTGGCTGGCCCTGGGTCTTGGCGACATGGGGCAGACGACAGGGATAGGCTGGCGTCTGTCCATACCGCCTCGTGCGTGGCGTGGTGAGAGCACCTTGCGGCGAAACATATGACATTGACGATCATTGTGTGTGTAGCAAGGCGCGGGGAAATCAGCGGCAACTCGAGAGCAAGCGACTGTGCAGATGGCTGGCTAGTCAAAGGGGCGAAGGACAAGCAAAACCACTTTAAACAAGGTTCGCTCATGCTAATCACGCTCATGTGCATGATGCAAGATTCAGTACACGTAGTCACGCGTGACTGGTGCTCCTATGCTCGAGACTAGGTGCTTTTCGTAGGGCCAGCAACTGCATCCTTCGGGTCGCACTGGCAGTGCGATGCCGCAGGCATCAGATATGTGCCGGCAATGTTCGGACACTGTCGGGACCGGTGGGCCATCCAAGATGAGGCAGGCAAATGGCGGCGACGCGCTTGAAAATGAACTGACGGTGAAGGCAGCAAGCAAATGCGACGAGGTCGAGACCACAGCCCGTACCGGCATATCCCTGCGCGACGAAGCGCGCCACAGCTGAGCCGTTGAACCGAACGGCGCGCCGCCGAAGGCACGATGCCAACGGGCTGGACGGTTTCCCCCTTCGAGGCACACGAGATGGGGTGACTGAGCTGGCCGAAGAAAGGTGGTTTGGCGACGACCAGGGTAAGGTTCCAGCGTAGTGGCCAGGTCGCAACCTTGAGAGCACGAAGGCGAGCCTAAACGGCATTTGAAGCTATACCGTGAACAAGCCATGGTCGCGAGGTGAGAAGTACAGTGCAGGCAAGGCGTGCGCCTGTCACCTCCGGCTGTTGAAGTGTCCGCGCAGGCGCAAAGGGCTGCACAAGTGCCGGCCGGCTAAAGACGTCTGGCGTCTCGGGGTTTCGGAGCAGCAGAGCCCGTATGGTCCGCCTGACGACCGGAGGCAGAGAAGAGGCGCACGCGTTCTCCTTCTGGAGATATGGCCCCCACGTCGTCACCGGCAATGGCTGGATAATTCGATGACTGGCTGCATCAAGACGCAATCACAGAACGTGACGGGTGTGATGTGGTCGGGTTTGATGTTAGCGCTGGCACGTCACACTCTCGGTTCGTGGCGATGCACCGCAGACAGGCATGGCGATCCCAGCAAAGTGTAAGTCGCGTTTGAGCGGCGCTACCCCGGGCTAGCGCGTCTGATTTCGAGAATGGCATGGATGGCTCTGCGTTGACTGTGGATGTGAGCGCAGGACGGTCATGCAGGCGATGGCGATCCTTGCAGCGGTCGCAAAGGCACACAAGGGCAGAGCTGTCGTGGCCACACCCGTGATGCAGCAGCTCTGCGGCGCCTGGGGCCGGGATAGGGAGTCTGGCGACAATCAAGCTTCGTCGCCACGGGCAGACGGGCGCCGCGGGCGTCGCAGGATGAGGACTGGAACGTCGACCCCTGTACGGTGTCACTGGCGCCACGAAGGGGGATTCCGCGCCAAACGCGGCGGCCGAGCGTCTGGGGAATCGGTTGATACGACGCACCTGGGGGTGAATGAACGCCAGGACCCCCTGCAGCATGCGACGAGGTGAAAGCATGCCGCCTCTTGGATATCGTCGCTTGCATATCGCCGCTTACACATGCGCCATGTCAGGAAGGAAGGGGGGGGGGGAGGGGGGTAGCGGGCCGACGCATGCAGCGGCATCCGTGGGTTGCTTGCAGGTGGTGGGCGCTCGGCAGCAGACACGTCAACATGATGCTTGGTAGCTCGTCGCGACACTCGAACTCCGGCAGGGGCGAAACAAGTGCGAGAAAGCGGCGTCGGACATGGGGCTGGGTTGGGTGACGATCGGCCGTGGTACGCTCGCTGCTCAAGTTATAACTTGTTCGGAGGTACGGACTAAGAACTTACAAAGCATGCACAATGCTTGGAGCCTTGCAGCCTTGCAGCCTTGTAGCCTTGGAGGAGCCTCGTGGCCTTGCAGTCCTGAGGCATCCATGGATCGGTGGTTGGCTCCGGGGTCTCGAGGAAGGTGCGTACGGAGCCCCGGGACACGCTGAAGACTCCGTGCCGAAGGCGGTCCGTGGCCCCGGCGACGGTGCCGGAACGAGGGACCGGCGCGCCCGCCAACCTGATGCGAATGCGAACTTGTGAAAGGCACCAGCCGCGCCGCAGACGCCACGCCATTGGGCTGCTCGCATGGAGCAAGTCCCTCCGCAAAGGCCGTCCCGTCAGCCGCAGCACGAGTCTGGGGAAGAAGGGGACCCAGCCCCACCCACTGTTGGCCGCCGTAGCTCCGTGGGCCGAGGCACGCGCTACCCCGTGTCCGGTTTCTCATCACCGCCGCCCCCGGAACCATCCTCAGACTTTCCAGATTCTTCACCCCGCGAACTGCCAGCGCGTCGCCAACACCAGAGTATAAAGTCGCGACAGCCGGGCGCGCGCAGAAAGATTGGCTGTGTTGCTCTTCACCGATCGCCCCGAAGATATCCCCAGCCGTTGTCGACCCTGCCGCCACCATGTCTGTTCCCGAGTCACAGTATCTGAGCCCCGTCTGGCGCGATGGCCTCTTCAGTTGAGCCTCCCACACCCCTCGCGGCGACCGGCCCGCTGACGTCTCGCTCGCAGAGGACCGTGTGGTGTTTGTGACGGGCGGCGCTGGCACCATTTGCAGCATGCAGACCAGGGCCCTCGTTCGCCTGGGTGCCAACGCCTGCATCATCGGCCGCAGCGAAGGAAAGACCGAGGAGGCGGCCAAGGAAATCGCAAAGGTCCGGCCCGGTGCCAAGGTTATTGGCATCGGCGGTTGCGATGTCCGCAAGGTATGCGCCGGCGGTTGAAAGCGGGCAGCACGTCCGGGCTAACGTCGCACCTCGCTGGTAGATGGAGAGCCTCCAGGCCGCCGCTGATCGGTGCGCGCGCGAGCTAGGCTCCATTGACTTCGTCATGTAAGAACCCCTCCCAGTCTTCGTCAAGAGGCAACAGCTCTGACTCGGCTTCTCTACCGAAACAGCGCCGGAGCTGCCGGCAACTTCATCGTGTCGCTCGACGGCATGAGCCCCAACGCCTTCAAGTCCGTCATGGACATTGACGTGCTTGGAACCTTCAACACCATCAAAGCCACCATCCCGCACCTGCTCAAGAGCTCGTCGCCCCGCATCATTTACGTCTCGGCAACGTTCCACTATACGGGTATGCCTTTACAGGCCCATGTGTCGGCCGCCAAGGCAGCAATCGACTCTCTCATGGCCTCGGTGGCCCTGGAATACGGACCTCGTGGCGTCCAGAGCAACGTCATCTCCCCGGGAGCCATCGAGGACACGGAGGGCGCCGCCAGACTCATGAGCTCGGATGAGACGGTAAAGGCGCAGTACGCCGCGTCGATTCCTTCGGGCCGCCTCGGCACGGTCCGCGACGTCGCCGACGCGACCGTCTTTCTCTTCTCCGAGGCTGGCACGTATATCAATGGCCAAGTGATCCCCGTAGATGGCGCTGCGTGGAGGAGGCAAGGCGCGTCGACCATGGGCGGGGATAAGTCTATGGAGTATCCCAACTATCTTCTGTCCACTGAGCCCCCAAAAGGTGTCAAGGATACGAGGAAGCACAAGCTGTGAGTTAGGGGTCGATCCCACGAGGCATGGTGGGTTTCGAGTGTGGGAGGCGGGCATGCTGTACTCTTAATGGAAAGGCTAGGAGATTCCATCCGGTCAAGCCCTGGTAGGCAAATCGTTGTCCTGCTCAAGAGTACGGGCGCCGTGCGGAGACGGTAAACGGTGCTACCGCGCGGCATGTTGTCCACTGCAACCTCGGGATCGCTGTCCAAAGCCTGTTTCAAGTTCTGGCCGGGCCTCTGTAGCTTCCGTTTCGGTCCTCGTCCCTGTCGTTCAAAGTCGCGCACATGGATTATGAGGGGCTCAATGGGTCTCCAAGCATGTCACTGCCGTCGTCCAGATTTGGCATGGCAGCCGGCGCCCTTGGGGGTGCTCGACGAGTCACACAGGTCGAGTGTGATGTGTGCGACGGCAGCGGCAACGCATCAGCCGGTCTCCGAGGGCCCGCTCGCATCCTGCCGACAACCGTCGTGGTGCAGGACGGCCTCGTTTGGGTGGGCAGGCATCTTGGCATCTTTGGCTGCGCGGGCAAAGTGGCGCCTCGTTCCCACTTGTTCGTCTTGTCGAAGAAAACGGGCCGGCTCTGGAGCAACATGTCAATCGGCGCCGTCCGCTGGGGACCGGCGCCCTCCTGTGTGGCGGGCCAGAACGGCATGGCGGCCACGGCAACCCCACCCGATAGCGTGCCTGTGGCTTGATGCGTGGAACTCGCTATCTGGATTGGGCGCATGGTATCTTCGCAAGTGGGTTGCAAAAAAAGAGGGACGGCAAAAGCGACTATGCCTACCATTTCTACCTACAACCCGAGAATGGCCGCGAGCAATACCTGCCTTTCAACGCCAAAATCACAAAAATAAAAACATCAGTTCACTGAGTGGCTCGTTGAGGCTATCGGGATGTCCTTAATTGTTTGCTATGACCGTGTATCGCGACGAAAGCAAGGTCAAAAGTTTCGCGGTCTCTGTTAATCTGCTACCCACTTTGCTTCGGTATCAGTGGCGATGGTCCGGTTGTCACAGGCTCCTCGGAGATGCATGGCGTCCAGCTCGCAGAGACCGAGCTGCCTTGCTGCCAGGCGCCAGGAGAGGGCGGGCCTAGAGGCGGCGGTTTCCCTGGCTATTCGTACTGGCCATGGTCTCGGGGAACAACCAGTGGCGTGTTGCTCGGTTCGGTGTCGGGAATGGAGGGATGCAGGTTGCGTTGCAGCTGAAGGCGTGATGGTGGGCTTGCCGCCTGCACAGAATCGGTGGTGTGCCGTGCGGGGACGATGGAGTCTGGGGAAGCAATGCGGCCCCTGGAAGACGAGAACCCAGATGGAATTCCAGGGGCGGGTTCGGATCGGTTCCTGGGACCAGCCGTGCGCAACGTGTGAAACGGCATGGCGAGATGGAGAGAGTGTGCGTGAGCGAAGCCACCTCAGGGATCTGCCTCCGTAGCGGCGTGCGACCAGGCGCGACTGACCCACCGCGATGGGCGCTTGCCTCTGGAAGGACTTCCGATATTACTGTACTGTGCTGTAATTCGTAGACGTACCCGCTGCCAGAGGTGAGCCGCTCGCTGTTGGGGGAGGGGGGGTGGCAGCGACAACCTGGAAGAGGAGCTGGAGCTGGCCGCCCTCCCGTCCAGAGTGGAAGGAACTTCCGGAGCCCGGGCGGGGAAGCACCTGCCCGGCGCACCACAGCTCGACCGACGGCGACCGAAAGTATTTATCATGGGCTCCTCCCGTCCCTCTCCTCCTCTCCTCTTCTGCTTCTTCGGTTCCGACTCCTCTCTGGCTTCTCTTTTGGACTTGGCCGTCGAGCGTCGCCGCCTGCTACATAGTGATACCCCGACACCGGCGCAACTCTCCTAGGAAAAAGTCAATTCGACCAGACCTGCGGCTCCCCCTCCCCCGCATAGGCGCACAAAAGCCACTACCGCAACCCCCAGTCAGCCATGCACTCCAAGCTGCTCGTCGCCGCCAGCCTCTCGGCCTTGGCGAACAACGCCATCGTCTCGGCAGCCGATAGCGAGCGTATCCTCGGCGTCTACGTCTTCCACCGCCATGGCGACCGCACTGCCAAGGCCTGGTCCCCCGTCAACCTCACGGCCCTCGGCGCCGACGAGGTCCACTCGTCGGGCGCCTTCTACCGATCCCGCTACGTCTCGTCCAACGCAGACTTCCGCGTCGCCGGCTTGAGCTCCGAAACCGCCGTCCTCTCCCAGCTCGAGGTCACCGCCCCCAAGGATGCCGTCCTCCACAACTCGGCCCTCACCTTCCTCCAAGGCCTCTACCCCCCCACCGACTCGACCGAGGCGCTCGCCAACGGCACCAAGGTCAAGGCGCCTCTCAATGGCTATCAGTACATCCCCATTGACTCCGTCAGCGATGCCGCCACCAGCAACAAGGCCGAGAGCAACGCCTGGCTCCAGGGCGGCAGCGGATGCGGCAATGCCGTCGTCAGCTCCAACAACTACTTCACCTCGCCCGACTACAAGCAGACGTACGACGACTCCAAGAGCTTTTACCAAAGTCTGCTGCCCGTCATCAACGGCACCTACGGCGCAGACGCCGCCAACTTCAAGAATGGCTACACGAGTGTGTCACCCCGCCACATGGCCTGAACTCCCGCGTCCCGTCAAATGTTATTGCTATACATACTTACCGTGTCTACGCAGTCTTCGACTTGATCAACGTCGCCACCATCCATAACTCGTCCATCTCTGCTGATGACCTTCTTACCAACGCGACCCTTGCGCGCCTCTACAACCTTGCGTCAATCCACGAGTGGAACCTCGCCTACAACTCGAGCGAGCCCGTCCGTGCCATTGCCGGATCCGTCCTTGCCGGCCAGATCATCGACGCCCTCCAGCCCATCGTTGACGGCAAGTCGGCCACCCCCAAGTTCAACGCCCAATTCGGCGCCTACGGCACCTTCATGGCCTTTTTCGGCCTTGCCCAGCTGCCCAAGGCTTCGCCCGACTTCTACGGCATTTGCGACTACGCCTCCAGCATGGCCTTTGAGCTCTTCACCACCTCGTCTGATGCCAAGCCCAAGGCCGACGACATCAGCGTCCGCTTCCTCTTCGCGAACGGCACTGCCGCGGAGAAGGGCATCAAGACCTTCCCCCTCTTCGGCCAGAACAAGGACACGCTCTCCTGGAACGATTTCAAGACGGGCATGTCCAAGTTTGCCATTTCGGACACCCCGCACTGGTGCCAGCTCTGCGGCAACACCGACGGCAAGTGCGCCTCGAACTCAACGGGCTCGGGCGGCGACGTCGGCCAGAACTCGACGGGCTCCGGCAGCGGCGGCGTCAGTAAGCCCGTCGCCGGCGTCATCGGCGCGCTCGTCACCCTCGTCGTCATCTTGGGCATCCAGGCTCTCGTCATGGCCATTGGGGGCCTGCGTCTCGTCAAGAAGTCGACTCTGGCAGGTGCTCGCCGGAACGGAGAGGTGAGCGAGGTTGGCGGAGTCAAGTCTTCATGAAGAGACGTTTGGGATCAGGACCAGGACCAGGCTCGGAATACGTTTCGAGGCCTGCAAAATTGTAGTTGGAAACAAAGCAGCGTACATGGGAATCGACCGCCTCCAGCCTGACAGGGAGTCACGTTGACGGGACAAAAGGAGATTGGCAACTTGTTTTTGCTTCGCTTCAACTCAGATACCACTCAATGGACATGACTAACGTGCCACGACGACTCGACTTGCTCCCCTCACGCTGTAGTAGACGCATGTTTGTGCGTGCCTGCATCATGAATATTACCTTGACCCCCTCATTACAGCCCGTTCGCCACGCAGCCTGCCGCGTATCGCGGTTGCCCGTTTAAATATACCTACCGGATAATAATGTACCACACGAGCGTCACATCGTCCTCAGAACCCCAAACACCGTGATTTCCAGGAAAGATGCGCGAATAAGACAGCAATGAATGCAATGGCTGCCACAAAAGAAGAGACACAAGGCGGCATCAGGATCACCGCAGCCCGCACATGGCCTGGACGTCGTGGCGGTGAAAGTAAGCCCTGACACGCTTCCCGTAAATGTCTGCAAAGGGGGGTTAGTGTACTGCCTCGTGCTAGGGACCCCAACAGACCTAGACAAGGCCGCTGGCGGGGACGGCAAACTTACACATGGGGATGCTCAGGACACAGATGCCCACCTGGACGGACGCGATGATGGTGAAGACGTTCTTGATGCCGCCTTCGATGATCCACCCGTAAGCGTACCACGTCAGGACGAAGCTGAAAATGTTCTTGAATATGATCATCAGGGTAAAACCCTCAACCGTCATGCTTCCTATATCGCTCACGTCAGAAATGGCATCGAGCAGCTAGGAGACCTGTGGAGACTCACGGTAGGCGTCGACAATGTAAAGCGAGCTAGCCACGGTGCCAATCACCATGCCCGCCACCTCGAGGCCGAAAAAGACGAGTGGTACAATGTACGCAAATTTGCCATCCATAATGCTCTCGGCCGTGATGCCAAAGCCGTAGAGCCCGGCGCCGCCAGTGATGAGCATGGGTATCACGAGAAAGATGCGAAATTCGGGCTCATATATTCCCTTGTTGAGCTTGGTGAGCAGCCTGACACTGCTGTCGGCGAGAAGGCCGCACACGACGAAGCCGATGAGGGCCCCCACGAACGGGGCAGTGTATGTGTATCCGGCCTTGACCTCACCAAACCAGTAGGGCGGACCAATGAATACAATGGCGTTGAGGATCGCGATGAAAATAGTCCATCCTATCATGGCGCCTTGAACGAGGCAGCCCCAGACAAAAGCAGGGTTCATGATGAGGGGGAACGGTCGGAAAAAGAGCACCCAGTAGCGCTCAGCCGTTTTCCTGCCGTCGAACAGAGAGAGAGACTGGATGAACGACTTCTTGGGCGTGTCGGCGTGGCCGAGGGGCTGCATGGCCCGAGACGAAGGAAACAGGACAAGGCCAGGCTTGTACTCCGAGGTGGTTGGGTACGCTTCATTGGGCGCGCCGGTGCCAGATGACGAGTTTGCCGAGGCCGAGGCCGGGTTGAGTTTGACTTCGTCCGATGTGGTCTCGTCGATGTTGAGCCGATAGTCGCGGCGATAGGCTGGCTCCGGACAAAAGAGGAAGACGAGCGGTATGGTCACGGCCATGAAGATGGCGACAAAATAAAAAGTCCACTTCCATCCCAGCTGTTCGGTGATCTTTCCCGTGAAGACTGGAGTTAAGAAGGCGCCGCCGAAGACGGCCAGATTGGTGAAGGCCATACGGACGCCTCGCTGGTGCACAAAATAGAGATCGCCGACGGCGGCGTTGAGCAGGCTCTCGAAGGGAGCGGCACCGACGCCCTGAATCGCCCTGGCAGCGGCCATGCTGTTGTAATTTTTCTTGGTCGCGCCAGCCCACACGCTCGAGGCGGTGCAGATGACAATGCCGATGAGGAATAGATGGCGCTTGCCCCAGACGCGACCCGATGGGACGAGAAAGGTAGCGGCGATACCGGCGCCGAGGAGGTAATAACCGGTGAGAACGGCGGTCTTGGTAGTGTCAACGCCGAAGACGATGCCAATGACGAGGGTGTTGGAGGCGAGGATGGAACCGAGGGATGTGGCCAAGATGCCGGCAAAGCAGAGGATGAAGGTGATGAGATCGCGTTTCCATAGCGGCCAGTTGAGAGGGTCGTTAGGATCATCAGACGGCTGGGGAATCTGTAGAACGTGTAAGACGTTGGCGGGAAGAAGGTCGAGGCTGTCGCGGCGGCGCGTTCGGGGCACGTACGAGAATAATAGGAACCTTGCCGCTGGTGTCGCACTTGAGGGTTGTTTCGTTCTCGCGCGCCTCTTGGGGCCTGTCTGGGTCATCGAAGTATCTAGTGGTGCCTGGCATAAGACGGCGAGGTCCAGGTTAGCGAGCGCGCTCGCGACAAGCGTGTCGGAGAGACGTCAAGGGCTCGTCGGGGTTCATACCGGGCACCTGTTCCCCGGACTTGGGCTCAAGGATGCCAAGACCCATGATGACGGCGCAGAGCAGGAGCAGAGTCTCGACTGGCAGCGGTGCTGACGTGGAGTGTCGAGGTGGGGGGGACTGCGAATTCGGGGCAGAGGTGTCAACGGGAGGATGGCGAGGGTCGCGCGGGGGGCATGGCGACGCTGAAGCCGTGTAGTCGCGATGCGATCGGCAAAAGGGCGGCGGGTTTAAGTGTATTTAATACAGGTGGCGCCGACGAACTCGCGCTTGTTTTCCCTTGTGGAAAGTCGGATCGGCCGACGTAGGTCTGCAGCGAGGGGAGAGAATGGATAAGGACGGGGACGAGGTTGCGTCAGCACGCAAGCAAAGCATGCGAAGCCAGCGATAAAGCCAAATTGGTGGCAGCAAGGAGGCGGGAGGGGAGGGTTTCCAGGGACTTGCGGTGGTGCCGCAGTATGGAGCCGGAGGTGGGAATGCCGCCGGTCGAAGTGCGTGGCGGCGGCCCACGGCTGCTCGTTCAAGGTTGGCCAGGCGGGGCGCGCGGGCGCGGGCGCGCGATGGCTTGGCCTGCATGGGACGCTGGCTGGGGCTGGATGGCAGCTTGGCTGTACAGCACTAGGTGACTTGGTACGTTAGTATGGCTGGATGGCTGGGTGGGTGTCTCCTGCCATGCGCGGGCGGGTTCAGCGTCGCGGGCAGTCGGAGCCCGGGAGCTCGGTCGCTCTCGCAGGCAGGGGCAGCAGGAGCGAGCGACAGCCGCGACTTGCGCCCGCACCCACGGCGCCATACAAACTAAGGTACAGTACCGACGAGGTTGACCGTCACTTACCGCTTCGGGGCGATACCCCCGGCACGGCGCAACTCGATGTCTTTCGGATGGTCCAATGACACGAATCACCCCGCCTTGGACTCCTTCCGTCGGCCACCTTGGCTGAGGCGCTCGGCGGCAGCGTGACGATGCTGTGCTGCGGTGCGCTTTGCTGGTTTGCTCTGCGGCTCCTGTGCTGGGCCTCTATTCGCGGACTGGCTGGACCTGTTTGGCAGGTGGCCCTCCCTGGCCTCTTGTGAGCTGGGCTGAAAGTCAGCCTATGGTTGCCGTATGTCTGGGCTGGCAGCATCTCCCCAATACGAGTACGACGCTCGGCCACACCCCCCTCTCTCTTGCTGACGCTGACGGCCCAAGGAGGAAAAAAAGGTCACTTGCTGGCTGCTGCTGCGCACCTGTTGCATCGGCCATGGGAACCTCCGCGCGCCCGTCCATCATCACCACCACCAAACCGAACCAGCCCATTCGCGCCGACTCCTTTCCCTCCGTGGTGTGATCTTCAGCCTGGCAGGGGCTTGCGGGGGCCGCGGCTCGCCCTATTCGCCGGCTCGTGGGCAGAGTGAACCCTTGCGACAGAGGACAGGCGCCGCCGACGCCGGCGCTGGAGACAGTTACAGTGGGCTGCTGCACGTTTAAAAGAAGAGCCCCAGAGCCCCAGAGCCCCGTCGCGGCAGCGGGTCGCCGCTACGGCCAGCACCCGCCGACCGAACCATCGGCCCCGACGGGACGCCAGGGCAGAGTCCACACCGCCCGCTCGTCTCGCTGGGCGTGGGCGTCCGATCTTTGACTGCGGTGCTTCCCGGGCTGTGCCCCGGCTGGTGGTGCGCCCAGGGCAGCTCACATCACCAAGTCCACCAAGTAAGTTACGCGTCCTCGTCCCGTCCACAGACTCTTCCAGCTGTCTTTGCAGCCCACGATGCAGCCCACGATGCCCACCTCCTGTCAAGCTTCCACGCTTCCATCTACGCCGTCCGCAAGGGGAGGGCCCCGCAAGCTTAATTGATTGGGGAAATTATCCGTCTGTGACGCGTGTGCATGCGTCCCGGTGCGTGCTTGGCTAACAGATTTCTTGCGAGATCCCACGCGTCCCGAGACGATTCTCATGCCACGACCTGTCACTACGCCCCCGCAATGGGACGAGCACCAACATACCGAGCTATCTGTGAAAAATGAGAGCCTCATCGGCCATTCATTCCTATTCTCTGGCCGACAGCAAATATGCGACATTCTCTTACCGACTTGCTGAGCCCGTCCTAACGAACATCCCTCATCCTCGTTCGGCCTTCACCATCCACATCCCATTGGTCCGCCCAGGGTGACATCCCCTTCTCAGATCGACATGAATACCTCGAGCATCTTCTTGCAATTGGAGGGCGCCCATGTCTGTGACGGGAGATCCCAGTCCGCGGCTCAAGTTCCCTCTTAGATGGACATGAACACCTTGAGCATCTTCTGGTAGTTGGGGGTGCCCATGCCCGTGACCGGATCCCAGCCCTCGCTGCAGTGAAAGCCGCCATTGTTCCCACACCCGTTGTTGTCCGGCCCGCCGCGCGGCTGCGACCCTTCGAGGACATCGTTGAACATTTCGGGATGCTGGTATAGGACAGGGTTGATGAAGCCGATGGACTTCTTCCCGGCGGCGAGCCGCTCCTCGTTGATGAGAGTCAGTATGGCGCCGACAATAGGCGCCGACATGGACGTCCCTCCAATGTAGTACCACTTTCCTCTCAACGCGACAATGCCGTTTTCCCCGACCGCGGATAGATCCGGATACGCGCGGCCGTTCCGGTTGTAGACCCCGCCGGTCTTGGGGACCTGGCCGCGGCTGGTGCTATATGACGGGAAACTCGGCGGATGATGGGTAAGATAATGCTGTACGGCGTCGAGCTGGTAGCTAGGAGTCTTGTAGATATTGCTGAAGCCGCCGCCCGAGGAGAAGAAGTCTGTCGCCACTTCCCTGTCTCCCGGTCGCTTGTGGTTCTGCAGGAGTGTGCTACCGACGCCAGTGATATAGGGGCAGTCACACGTCGAATCGGGCATGAAGATGGTATGGTTCGCGCCCATGCACTCGCGCTCGGGGTCCGCCACACCGTCGTCGCCGCTAGCGACGAGCACGGTCGTGCCGCCCAGCGCCAGCTTCATCCACTCGTCGCACTGTCTCTCTAGGTACCTAGGCGGAGATCACGCCGGTGAGCATCGCATACACGAGTGCAGAAGTCCAAGTAGCAAGGGAGGAGCTACTCGGGGAAGAGGACGCCATACCTCGACGGATAATAAGGCTCGGTCGAGCCATACGAGATGCTGATGACGTTGGTGAGCGCGGCGGTGCCACAGTCATGCCGAGAGAAAGTGCCGTCGATCTTGGGCGTGTCTCCCGTGTATCCGTGTGAGGTGAAGTTGCAGAAGCTGCCATCTAGAGCGTCAAGGAAGGGGTTCCAGATGCCTGCCTTGCCAGGGCCGGAGTCGGGACTCATGTATAGGACAGTGCCTTGCGGATAGATGAGGGGCACTGCCATTTCAAAGTCGAGCATGGCCTCGCCACCAGCCTTTTCAAGTCCAAGGTTAGAGAAGCGGTGCGCAACCCCTTGTCATTCGAATTTGTCTTGGTCCTTTTCTTTTTCCCCCCACAGGGGGAGAGAGGCCTTTTGCTGGGGAGGGGGAGGACAAGGGGGGAAAGGTAAGACGCGGAGGTGACTTACATCATGAGGGTTATCGGACGTCCCGGGGGTGCCGTCGATTTCGTACACCTCGGGCGTGAAGTTCTGCGGGACGTGCGGGGCGTAGGTGGCTACGAACCTGTCCATGTCGGACTGCACGTACATTTGGTGCTCGGCCTCGAAGATGCCCAGCTTGTTGCCGGGGTGGGCAGTCTTGCCCATGGGGATGTTGTACATGGCCCGGAGGCAGTCTGGGGTAATCCTGCGCCCGCAGTCGCCTGCAGAAAGGGGGTCAGTCAGGACATGCTCGTCAGTTGTTATGCATCGTCAAGCAATGTCGTCGATGCGGCCGATGTGCCAAGCGCAAAGGGGTGCGGGAAGGCGGTTCAACCCGCCATGACTTGCGATCCCACCGAGCAAAGAAAGAGTTACGCACCGGGATTGGATTGGATCTCTGCCTGTATAGGTTCCAGCGGCCTGGAGCCCTTACCCCCGGCGCCCAGCTTCCGTCGGCGCAGGCTCTTCCCGGGGCTCAGCCGCCCAAACGCCGTGCCGGGCACGATGAAGTCGACGTGCGCGGCGACCTCCTCGGGCAGGTGGTACGCGTCGGTGCCGAGGTGCGAGCCCTCGCCATCACCGCCGTCGCCGTCGTCACGAGCCCGCACGTGGTTGTATATGTGGTAGTCGGCCTTGACGAGCGACTCGAGCTGGCCGACGGTGGCGTCGAAGTGCACCCAGCCCTTGGTCACGGGGACGACGATGCTCTCCGCGGCGACGCCCGACAGGAGGAGCCACTCCTTGACCTTGGCGATGGACTCGTCCGAGGGGGCGAAGAGGTCGATGATTTGCTGGCGGGTGTACCACTCGCCGTATTTGCCCGACGCGTGAGTCGGGTCTGACCTGGTAACATGAACAGACGGGACGTCAGTAGCCGCCGTGTCGACATCGTCACGTTCGAAACAGGGGCTTTCCAGGCATGGGGTGGGGGGGACGTGGCAGACGATAGCAGAAAGGCAGACGACAGACAAATAGACGACAGGCACACAGACAGACAAATATACGATGGGCAAATAGTTGACAGACAGACAACAGACAGGCAAGCAGAGCGCACACTTACACCTCCAAGACAAGGTCCATGGCCCGCTCCAGGTTTCGCTGCTTCAGGGCGATGCGCACCGGGACCTTGGAAGCCGGGTCCGCGGGCTCGCGCTTGACCCAAGCGTCGTAGTGCACCTCATCGCTGCGCTTCTGGTGCAAGACATGGGCGCCGCCGCCGCCGCTGTACGAGGTGGCCGGTGCCCCCAGCGCGCTGGCGACCAGCCCGCTCAGGAGGAAGAGGCTGCGCATCGTGCAGAGCACCAATGGCTAGGTTGTCGCCAAGAAAGGAAGCGCCGTGCTTGGCAGTACCGATACGCTTCCAAGAGGTGATGGCGTCGTCGTCAAGATACAGTTGGGGGGTTCGGGAGCAAGCTCTTCAACCAAGATGGAAGCGGACGCCCCCGAGTTAAATGGCGAAGACATGAGTCAAAAAGGTCCCCTGGCTAATCCATGCGTGTTATTCCGCCTCTCTCCTCTCTTTCCCTCTCTCATCAGAGCCCCGGTGGCGATGCGATGTTTGGCGAGCTGCCTTTCTGGCCGTGATGGCAGTTGGGCCGGCATCCCGCAAACGCATTGTAGCTTCAACGAAAGTCCCGTACGCGCAGCGCTGTACTGTTCTGTACAGTACCGTACGACGCATGCTTGCATGGCTCGGTCAACGCCGCCTTCCTAAAGTACACTTGCTGTTAGGTGCTCGAGCTCGTTTGCGAGAGCGAAAACCAATCGGCAGCATGGGTGAGAGGGGGTCCCCTGAGCATCAGTTGACCGCGTAGCTGCGTTTCGCTCAGTCAGCCACCGTGTGCATCCATTCGTTCGTTCATAGTATGAGAAGAGAGAAGTTGCCTCTGCTTCCAACGGGGACTCATACAGTGCCTGATTCTGAAAAGAAGAGAGGTTTGCAGGGTTCTCAGGCCCGCGGAGTGAGTGCGTAGTCAATCATATCGTGACCAGTACAGTACTGCCCGCAGTTGAGGGCCAGGACCCTCACGAGGGAGGCCGGCTTCCTAGATATCATGGCCTTGAGTAGTTGGCTAAACAGTGTTTTGATGGGTAGGCAGGCGGCTGCTCAGCTCATCTCAGCTCAGCATAACTTGGGGCGATTCTTCTCTGGGAACTAACAGCACAGACGATTTTCTCCATTGTATTGTTCTCGTTCTACACCGTTTTGTACCAACGCGAGAGCTCACGTTATGTGCTAATAAGCGAGTCCGTCCACCACCTCCATGCTTGTTGGCCCGGCGCCGTGTCCTTACTGTACTCTGCACAAGCAACATTGAGTAATAAGTCAACCCGCTCGACTTTCCCTTTCCATCGAAATACGATGGCCTCACTCCCCCACACGCGAGTGCCGGTTATCCGGTTCCCTCTCTGGCCCCCAGCCACCGTCCGTCCCAACGTCTGGTGTGCCATGTCTACGGCAAAGCCATGCAAGGGCCGGAAACCCCAGAGTAAGTTGCTCAGAGAACAAAGAGGGGGGTCGAATCTCAACATTGGCGGCACCAACTCCTGCGCGACATGTATGTATGCTGTGCGTGACCAATGTCGTCCTCTCGACTCCTGCATCGTCGTCGTCTACGGAGTACTTTTTTCATCACTCGGCGGCGGCCGCTCCCTCCAGGCGCCGCCTCTCAATCCACTCATTCCAGTGCACCACCTGCAGGCACATGCCCTCGACCGTCGTGCACGCCGGCCTGTACCCCAGCCCGCCCTCCTGCGGCGCCCTCCTCGCCGCCGAGTCGTCAATGATGGACGTCACCGACGACGAGAACAGCGCCGGCTGGAACAGCACGAGCGGCTCGCCCGGCTCGCGCACCACCCCCACCCGCATCTTGGCCAGCAGCGCCGGCGGGACGCCCAGCAGGCGCAGCAGCCTCTTGAGCGGCGTCATCGTGCTCGTCCTCGCGCTCGCCGTCGCCAGCAGCAGCAGGCAGTACGCCTCGACGGCGTACGCCGCCAGCAGCATCAGCACGGGCGGCGGGTGGTCGACGCGCATGCCCGTCGCGCTCGTCGTCGCCAGCACGTCGTAGACGTCCTGGAAGCGCAGGGGCGGCCCCGCGTCCGAGACCATGAAGGGCCGGCCGGCCACGCGGTCGGCGTGCGGGCCCAGCAGCGCGTCCTCGAGGAGGAGGTGCGCCTGCGTCACGTTGCGGACGTTGACCCAGTTGTGCACCCACGGGCCCGAGTACGTCGGCACGCGCCGGAGCTTCATGATGCGGCCCACAATCGTGTCGTCCTTGTGGCCGTAGACGCCGTTGCCGGGCCGGATGGCCGCGGTCCGCATCCTCACCCTGTTGTTTCCCTTGTTGTTGTTGTTGTTCTTGTTGTTGCCGCCTTCGCGTGTTGCCCCCGGCTCTCCGTCGTCCATGCCGTCGTCGTCGTCGGCGCCGCACACCAGCCGCTCGCCCTCGGCCTTGGACCGCGCATAGTTGCTCGCAAAGTCGCGCGGCCGCGGCATCGGCTCCCAGAAGTCGCCGTCGCCCACAAACTGCACAAAGTTGCGCGGCTCGCGCAGCCACGGCGGGAAGAACCACCCCGTGCTTCGCACCGCCGCGTGGCAGCTCGACGTGTAGACGAAGACGCCCGCGCCGGCCCTCCGCGCCGCCGCCAGCACGTTGGCCGTGCCCGCGACGTTGACGCGCGAGCACCGCTCGTAGAGGGCCTCGCTTCGCTCAAAGGGCCGAATCAGGGCCACCGTGTGAAACACCGTCAGGGGCAGCCGCGCCACGGCCTCGTCCCACGGCTCGTCGAAGGCGCGGAACATGCCGCCCTCGGACGTCACGTCCGCGTCGACAAACCTCACCTCCGAGGCGGGGCCTGACGAGAATTCGGCCCGCGCAGACCGTCGAATATCCATCAGCCGGATCGCCGCGGGCGGGACCCCCATCTGGAGCAGGTCCAGAGCCAGCTGCCCTCCCACCAGACCTGCCGGGTAAAGGCGGTTGCCCCCGCGTCAACGCTCGTTCCAAGCTCCGCGTGGCATCAGGAGAACTCACCCGACCCACCGACGATGATGTACCGCCTCTCCTTGCGCCGTGGCAGTTTGCCGCGCCAGTCAATGCCCTTGCCCCGGACTCTCTCGTACGTCTCCCGGATGCGCTCCGCCGTCAGCGGCTCCAACGCGTGTGCCCGCGCCGCGCGCGGTGTCCGCGACATGACGTAGTTGAGCCTCACGATGTGCAGCGTGAAGACGGCCGCGAGCAGCAGCAACAGCGTCGCCGTGATGCCAAACATGATGAGGTACGATCGCGTCCGCTCCCCAAACCTGTTGTTACTGACCAGCCTCCAAATGCAGGTCGGCGCGCAATGTGTGTTGGTCTCCAGCTCGTGGACTCTAGATGCTCGGACCACGGCCGGCTTTATACAGAGAACTGGAAGCGAACCTGAGACGCAGGGCCTTCTGCCTCATGTCCTGAGGGCGGGGGCGCCGCCCTTGCCCTGTGCTGCGGGCAACACGCGACTATGCAGTCACATTCAGCTTGCATGGCCGTCTGCAACCTGATCATCGACTGTCGACCGCTGCCGAGTTGCGTCGGCCCGGCCGCGCGGGGAAGCCCGAATCTGTGAACTTGCACCAAACTAGTGCGCATTTCCTACAAAGTACACCATCATCAACCTGCTCCCGTAACACAATCCGGCCGTGACAACCTTAAGTGGCGCGCGTGCGGCCCGTGTGGTGGCACGCCACCCCGTGTCAGGGCACCCAGCGCCCCCGAATATCGATTACACGATCCAGCTGCGCCCCTGGAATATTCTCCGTCGCCCAAATGCCCTCACCAAAAGACCGTCTTGCCTCGTCGCTGACCGCCCCCGGCCGTCGTGTCATTGAATGACCTCTGGGCCGTCAGCCGTTGGCCGTTGTCGTTGAGCGTCCCAATCTCATCCATCGACGCAATCATGCTCAACGCCGGCCAACAGATGGCCTCAAAGACGCCCTCTGCCTCGAGCAGATCGCAGTCCCACGAGGCCCGTTGCCCAATCGTCATGTTCTGGTTCTCCATGAGCAGTTCCTTGGCGCGCAAGGACGTGATTGAGGCTTCATAAGAGGTCACGGGGTAGCCGTCCTGGCCGGGTGAACCGGCCACCCAGTTCGCTCGCCTGTCCCGCCACTGGGACAGGTTCATCCTCTTCATCATGATGATAGAGAGCTCGCTTCTGCCGCGCTCTCCCTGCCGGTATTTGGCAACGTGTCGCACCCTGATGTCCGTGATTACGGCTCGGAGTCGCTCGTCTCGCATCGCCTCGATTGCAACTTCTCCCCCTACAGACCTACAAGTTGCATCAGTCAACAGAACACGTACGGGTGTGCCTCGCGACTTACTTCACGCAGATGGACGCCACGATTGCGCGTCCAATCGCTCGGTATCTCGTGGAGCTATCCAGATTGGCCGCCCGGGAGGCACAAACCTGCATGTCCCAGGCCCGGGAAGCACCGTGCAGGTAAAGCTTGCGTAATTCCTTCGTAGCGCCTCGACACGTAAATTCAAACGTCTCGGCGTCGACCTCTACTACAAACTCAGTGTCTGAGTCGTCACGACAGTGGAAATCGTAGAAGACGTGGGTGCCGAAATGCCGCCACGCTGCTTCGCCCGGGGGTCTCGCCTGGACCACTCGTTCCATGTCGGGGCCAAATGTCGTCAGAGCAGATGAAAAGCCGAGGCTCGCGGGGTCCATGTCATGCAAGATGTCACTCAACTCAGCCGCAGAATGAAACGGTCCAGATCCGAAGTCAACTTGAGAATGGCTGACATCCATGAGATAAACGCGTCCGAAATGCAAGTCGATGGAGACGTGTCCTGGGGCCAGTTGCAGCACGGCCGCCATAGACTTGAGCTGCGCTTCCGCCAGCTCTTGGGTCGCGTTCTTCGCCGTTGCGCCTTTGCGTGATACCGGACTCGACAACTTGGAGGCGACGCCCTTCTTTGGCCCCTCAGTCGATGCGCCGGTCATGGAAACTCTCGGTCTATCGGACAATTGCTCATATAAAGATGCCGACGTAGCCGTTGAAAAAGTGGTCTTCGATGTGGCGGTCCCCTGGCGATCCTGGGCCGAGCTGAGCGTGCGTCGGTTGCCTCGGGCGTCGCGACTCTCATTCTGTCCGCCCTCGCGTGATTCGTGCCGATGCCGATCCACGTGCAAATCACCCGGACCATTAGACTTGCCGGCGACTGTGTGATTACGAGAAGATACACTCGCCGGCACCAGGACTTGATGGCGGCTCAGGCTTTCCGTCCTGCCTTCGTCGAGCAACGTACATCCCAGAGCTGAGAAAGGGTCTGGCTGATAGTTAACGCTTCGGCCGTCTGTGCTTGGCAGCTCCCGAAAGTCAAGCAGGTCCTCGTCGCCGTCGACTCGAGAAGGAGGCTTCGTTTCCTCGGGGTCCAGGCATATGAGATCCTCGTCGAAGTGATCGGGCTCGTTCTTCACGATTGTCTGCGCCTCAGCCTGGACGCTCTCAAGCGTATCCAACAACAGCCCACTGGGCTGGCAAGTAATGGGATTCTCGTCGATACAGGATTCGTTCATCTGTATCAGCTTTTCGGGGGAGTCTGCCCGTCCCCACGGCTGCTCGATGTGATCCTGAGGCAGTCGAACAACTTCATCTCTCCAAGACTCAACCGCGTTCTGAGGTACGTTGTCTGATGCCAAAGCTGTGCTCCCGGGCGAGGTTATGTGGCTCTGCGTCGAGGGCCGCTCGGTATCCTCGACTGCAGCGTGGTCTTGATCCACCGTCTCCGGTTCTGTGGCATCTGGAATCCTCTTCAGGAGTACATGAACCGACGTAGGGTGCTTCTTGGGGTAAGAGTAGTTCGTAAATGCAGGGAAGCCCGCCGTTGCTCCTTTCTTGATGTGAAACTGAGTTGCGGTAGGCGTCTTGACCGGGTTCCATGCGTTGTGCTCCTTGAATTTGGCCCTTACTCGAACCGCGTCCTGGAGGCGTTGGTACTCTGTCGAAAGGTCGGCAGTGTCACAATGAACGAATGTTGTTCGCTCCTGGCCTATGTGGGATAGCCAGTTCAAGGCGAAGCGGACAGGACCCTTTCCTTCCGTGACTATTAAATGCTTTGCATCACGGCCACCTGCGACCTGGGAACTTGGTCAGCTTTTCGCATAGAGTAATGAGCGTATCGTTGCTTACAGCAACACAAACAAGGTTGTCCAGAGTCGAGATTGCCTTGTCAAGCGTTGCCTGGTCGAAGTCGGTCCCGACATAGGCCAGACTTCCGGCCATGTTGTGGGTGACTTGGCATCGAGTGAGTGTTTCCAAGCCGAGTATAGAGGCCGGGGCCCCAGCGTGCTTCCAGTGGGTTTCGAGTATGTCGAAAAAGGCAGGAAAGTCCCAGCCTCGCTCCTCGAGACCGCGCCAGGACGTCTGATGCTTCAAACCGGCTATGTCCGCTGGAAACTGGTGTGCTGCGAAAGACAAACCGCCCTCGTCGAGCTCACCCTCAAGGCGCGACCACGGGAGGATACGGGGGCTGTTTGCAAGGATGGCAACATCCGCAAACGCAGCCTGGGAGGGCTCCTCTTGCTTTCTTTGCTCTGGATCAACCAAACCCGCATCTTGCTCGACAATGGCGAGGAGCTGTTTCTGAACAAAGTGCGTGACCTTTTGTTGATGAACCTGCTCGGTGATGATCTTGAACCAGGGGACGTCTGGCTCGTAGAGAATTTCCAGGACCTGGCCCTACATCGGTGGTCAGTCAAGGACACCTCGCGTGTCCCTACCGCTTGCTTACTTCGGGGTGGGCAGCCTGCGTTGCCTGCACAACCGAACTGACGCCGCCCGGAAGCAGGGGCGGGTTGCAGGTTACGTAGAACTCTACGTAACCGGGCACCAACACCATTCTGCCGAATGCACCCGCGGTGCCAGCAGGTCTATCTCGAGGCAGGAGTCCAAGGTATTCAGTGTCCTGAGAAGGGGTTGAAAGTGGTTTCGGTTTTCAGTAATGGATACAGATGTAAACAATAGACGTAGCGGTGCGGACGAGGTCCGCCGCGGGCAAGCGGTGGCGCAGGGGAGGAGGGATGAGCTGCGGAGAGGGTGGTTTGTGAGAGAGAAGAGGAGGGAAGGGGAAAACGGGAACGGACAAGAGAGGAAGGGAGAGAAGAGACGAACGCAGCGTGGCAGCGCCGTAGCGAGAGGTCGGGGAGTGACCTCCGGGCGGGCAGCTGCGATGCTGGCACCCGCCTGTGGCACACACCGCCTCCAGGAGCAGGCGCGGCATCCGTGATTCACTCGCAGTGTTCCGCTTAATCTCCCGTTCAGGCAGACGCGCGGGCTGCGAGAGTGAACAGCGGCTCTTCCGCTTGCCCCCGAGAACAGCATTCATCTCTTGGTGCGGCTGCAGTGCCCTGGGACTCGCCGAAGACGCAACCCTGGTCTGGGGTACCTGCATCTGTCTCCATCAATGAGTAGTATGATCACAATGCCCGCGGCGTAAACAGTGCACCCACCTCCTGAAAAGGATGCCTGCCTTCACTTACGCTCCTCTGCCGTGGCTCGCTTCGCTGTCAGATGCTCACGGGGCTCGACGCCTCGGCCACACCTCACCTCTCACCTCAACAGGTTGTCTCTGCATCCAAAAGTCGATCGTCTCAAGCGAACGCACACGCATTATATTCGTAACAGCTGGGGTATTTCGCACGTCCCAAGGATAAATGCCTAGGTAGGTAGTAGTTCAGGAAGCACAGATGCAATGCCGTCGCCTTCTTTTCCCCCATATTTCTGCAACTCCCACGGTGCCGCCGAATCGCCCGCCAGACAGGAGAGTCCCTCACAATCTCAGAGTCAGCACCGAAAGCACACATCCCAGGTCTCAAACACAAACATCAAAGGAAAAGCCCAGCCCAGGAAATGCCGGCAGATAAGGTCGTCCGCCCGTCGAGGCGCGCGCGCGCGTCGGTAGCAGCAACGACATGAGAGGAAAGGCAACACCCAAGCGCCTCATCATGAACAGGGGGTCCTGCACGTCGCAGGACGGCGGACCCCCCAAGGTAGCGACGTATCCAGGCTAAATGGCCGTCTATCTCGTGATTCCGGAAGCAGTGGAAAGGAAAGCGCCCAGGACAAAGGGAGTGTGTATATGTGTGGTATCGTGGGTGTAGAGGCATGCTGTGCCGTGCTGTGCCGCGTCTAGTGGGGTCGCCACGGAGCCTCGAGGGGGGTTGGAGGATGGGTATGTCGCGTATCGTATGTACAGAGAGAGGCCCACGAGCTTGTCTCGCTCGTGCGGGGCCCGTTTGACCGTCGTGGTCGTCGCCGTTTCAGCCGGTTATTTGGCGTCCTTGACGTTCTTTTTAACGTTGAGCGCCCACTTCAGTTTCGCCAATGCCTCTCTGGACTCGTCGAGCAGCCGCTCCTGCTCCTCCTCCCTCCTCCTGGCGTTGGTTTTGATGTCCTTCAGGTCGTCCTCTTGCGTCCGCTTGTACTCGTCAAACAGGTGCGCGATGCGCTCCTTGTCTTGCGTCAGCTGCTTGATGTTGTTGTCCTGCTGCTCGCACAGGTCGCGCAGCGTCTGTATCTTGTCGTCGTCGGACTGGCGCTCCTCGACGATGGTGTCGATGTCGCCCTTCATCTTGGCCACGGCACGCTTGACCTCGTCGCCCTGATCGCGCCAGTGGGAGGAGATGGCGTTGTAGCGGCCTTCCATCAACTGCGCATAGCTCGTTGCCTCTTCCACCTGCGTCGTCGACTCGCTTCTCACGCGCTCCAGCTCCTCCCTCCAGCTCTTCTCGCGATCTAGCGCGAAAACTACCTTCTTCTTCTCCGCGTCGACCGTGGCGGTCAGGGTCTCTACCTGGCGCTCCTTGCGCGCCAGCAGGGTCTTTGTGACGTTGGCCTCGAGCAGGCGGCCTTCGTACTCGTTCATCATGCGCTCCATCTTGTCCTCGAGGAGCTTGGCGGCCTGCTTGGCCTCCTCGGCCCGCAGGCGCTCGATCTGGATATCCCGCTTGAGGGCATCGTTGTCGCTGACGAGCTTGTTGATGACGCGGCCCGTCTTTCCCAGGCCGGCCTTGCCGATTGTCGAGTCCCACTGGCCGCCGTTGGCGTCGGGCTCCTCGGACAGGACGGACGAGTCGTGGGCGGCCGGCGTGCTGTCAATTGCACGGACGCCGTTGGCGTGCCAGTGTACGGGCGTGTCGGCGGCGACGTCGCTCTTTAACCGGACGGTGGGCGGCGTCCGCTCGTGCTGGCTGGCGCCCATGGCGGACGAGCCGCTGGCGTTGCTGTTGACGCTGCTGCCAAAGGCGCTGCGCTTGCTGTCGGGGCTCGACTCGGACCCCTCGACGCTGGCAACGCTGCGGATGGTGGCGGATCGGGCGAGCGCCTGCTTGGTGGTTGTGCTTGGGCTCCCACGCCAGGGCATGCTGTTTGTCGTGCGTGTCGAGGCAGGAGTCAGGGTCCTGGCGGGCGACGTTTCCGGTGCGGCGTGGTCGGCGGCGGCGGCGGCTGCACCAGGGTCGATGTCAGCATCAGCAAGCAAGGGCAATCAATGACTGCGCTGTGCCTCGGGCAAGTCCACGAAGAGGATTAGGCGGGGCGGCGGTGCAAATGAGTTGACGGATGGATTGGTGATGGGGTGCAGTAGGTGTTTGTTGACGATGTGGTCGGACAAGGCGACGACGGGGGCACGACCCCGAGCATGCGATGGATGCAGAGCACGGACGTCGCTGCTGCTGCTGCTGCTGCTGCGGCACTGCTGCAGTGCTGCAATGCTTTGTCGACGGACGTGCGTGCGTGCGTACGGGCTTGTAGTTACTTCGTGCAAGGACTCGGGGAAGGTTTGCCAGGGGCAGAATAAAGTACAGGCACGGGCACCTCGCCCAACCCACCATCCCACGCCCGAGCACGAGTAAGGGGACCAGACGGGCTACGTCAGGCGACTCGTGCGCGCCACGCAGTGGAAGCCCAGGCTGTGGGGAGTGGTGGGTGGAGAGCATCGTGGACGGATGGGGGCGAGGAGTGGAAGTGGCAGCACGAGTACATCCAAGTAACAGCGTGAAAGCTTCAACTCACCGTGCGCGGCGTCTTGGTGGACCGCGAATTCTCGTTTCCGGAGGCGATTTCGTGCCATGTCGCCGGTCCTGCCAAGTGCTGGAACGTACAGCACAGCACGCGATCGAGGTGGGCGGCGGTGCAGCTTCAACGAAGGCTGCTCGAAGTACTTCGTAGACGACGGGAGCAATCGAGGCGGGACCTGTCTGGCCGCCAAAGCTTATTAGCACCGGTTCTCGTCGAGGTCGCGGCGCCTGGCGTCGGGTGCCTGGGCGGGCGTGCCTGGCTGCCGTGGCTAGCGGTATTGGCGGTCGCGGGTAGCGCTGGCGATGGCGACGGCGCTGGATCGGCGGCGGAGTCGCGTGCTGAATGGCGCGCAAACTGACGTAAAGGCGAACGCTCCAATTCCTGCGAAGCTCCGGCTTTCAATGGAACTTGGACGGTTTGTTGGCTAGATGCCGAATGGGGCGGTCTTTGGGGCTGTTCCACAGGGCGCTGCTCCACCCGCAACAAATAAGATAGAGTAGAGGAGAGAGATGAACGCTGATGAGGCCTGTGTTAGAGCGACCTTCCAAGGTACAGTAGTAGGCAGGCACTGTAAGTACAGACAGTGCCGCGCTGTACTGCCACAGTATCGCACGCTCCGCAATGCAGTAACAACAACAACAGAGGATACAGTATGAGAGAGAAAGAGGAAAGAAAGAAAGCAAAAAGGGTGCAAGACCTCGGGCGCGCGCGCGCGTCTCCTTTGTCGGTGAGACCGGGAAACAAAAAAAGAGCCAGCACCACCACCACCACCACCACTTCGCTCCGAGACGCATTGACGAGGCACCTTGCTTTTGGGATCAGCCCCGGCACCCGACGTCACCTGCACCCGTCCGACCTCCCCGGGCCAGACCCCCGAAAGAAAAACACGTCCAGCAGGCCCCAGGTCAGTGTGCCATCCAGCGCAGGTCCTGCCTTGCCTGCCCGCCTGTGCCTGCAGGGGTCCTCGGCGGCACGTCGCGCAGCCCGCGTCGCCTCAGTGGCGCCCGCTATCAACGCTCGACGCGGTCGGTCGCTCTCTGGGCGGCCGCCCCGGTGGCCCAGCAACCTACGTTCGGCAGACGCGACGCGGCGGCCAGCCCAGGCCAGGACAAGGCCCTTGCACGGCTCAGAGCAGAGTCCAAGTTACAAAGCTCGCGAGACTGGATACGTACCTATCTCAGAGTCACTGGACAGCTTCGATAACACTGCCCTCGGCTGCTGGACGCAAACGCCCCTGGCGCTCGATTCTGCGTCGGACGTGGCTGTCTCTCGGCCTGCAGCCTGCAATCAACCACCCATCAAGTCATGTCAATGACGATGAGACACCGGCTGAGGCTCTCATCACCCGGCTACTTGTAAGCTCGCACCACTGGAGGAGCCATGCATGCGCACTTCGTCACCACTCGAGGCACAACTCCACATGGGGATTAGTTCTCGCCGGCAGCCGGCACGGCCTTCCGTCTTCCTTATTCTCGTCCCGACCTGCATCTACGTCGGCATCTTCGCAAAAGCCGCTTGATAATCCACGTACAACCCTACTGTGACATAGCCCTTGGCCCTTGCTTTCCTCCCGCTGCACCCTCAGGCGCTCATGTCTCCCCATTCTGGGTGTGACAAAACCAACACCCAAAGCCCAGAGATGATCCGTAAACGCCTCGTCATGCCTTGTCCATAACATGTACACGCTCGCTCCCACCTGGCGACGCACCGGCCCTCAACCAGCCCGTCTCATGTTGCGATGGCAGCCGGTGCAGCCCCATCGCCCTCCGCCTTGCTGTTGTTGGCCGCCTCCAGGAATCCTGGTCTGTACTTTGCTAGATACTTGCCGGCCATCGGTCGAGCATCTTCGACTGTAGTCGTCACATGTTAGCGAACGCACTTTAAGCCGCCAAACGGGTGTCCGCTCCACTTACACTCAGTCCAAATGTCCTGGACCGTATCCAGCGCACTCTCCTTGACTGGTGGCCGCATGATAACCAGGTACAGCAAGCTCGTCAACGCCAGCTGCGTGACGCTGGGGTCGCGGCACATGTGCTTTATCCGCGACAGCATCGTCGGGTTCAGCTCGGGGATCTCGCTCAGGAACCGGGTCAACACCTTGTCCTGCGGGTGCAGGTAGGGAAGAAATCCGTCAATGAGCCGCAGCGTGCATTTCTCGTATCGCGCGAGATGGTCGTCCCCCCGCTTCATCTGAGTCTTGTCGTTGTACCACTCCTCGCACAGCCACGAGACGGCAACGTCGATGTGCTTCCGGAAGTCCTCCATGACGTAGTTGTACAGCAGCTCTCGAATGTCGTCGCTGAGCCCCTCGGGTCGCTTCGTGTCGTCATCTTCGCCTTTGACGGAGACGTCTTCGAGACCCGCGGAAGCCCGCGTAGCCAGCCGCGACAAGATGGACATCCAAGAGTCTCGGGTTCCAGAGCTTGCCGCCAGCCGGTTGTATCCAGCCTTGTCCTTCTTGACCGCTGGCTCATCCAACGACTTCATCATCTCCAGGACTCGGGCGACTGTACCACTTCCCGCGCTGAGCGCCGTCTCCGCCGGTAAACTCGGCGGCTGCGGAAGGCTGAACGAGGTCAAAGCCAGGCTGCCGTCCAGCGCCATCGGCTCGGTCGCGGATGACGCGCCATCCAGTTTATTGAGGATCTGCTCTGTATCCTCGGCCTGGTAAAAGTCCGGCTCATAATCGTCGTCATCGTCATCCACGCCCAAGGGCGCCGTGTTGGGGTTCAGCTCTGGGGCAGGCGCCGTGGCTAGATCGTGGAGTCGCCTACGAACAGCATCGACAGCCTTGGACAACAGCTCAGGCTCCAGCCTGGCGAGCGCCGTCACCGAGACCTTGGCAACCAGGCCAACAGGCAGTTGCGAAATGTCGAATCCCTTAAGTTCGTCATTGGTGATCAGGGTAAAGACGTCGCCCAAGCTGTGCGGACCAGGGCCGAGCGGTGGGATCGGAGCATGTGAGCCCACGACACGCTGGCGCTTGGCGTCGAGGCCATCGTGCTGCGGCGCCTCCAACGGACGCGTCTTACTCGTTTCGTCGAAAAGTTCCGTGACGCTTCGCACCATGCGCTCCAAGTGTTGCTGTATTCGAGGTGCCATGGGGTTGTGCGGGTCTCTCTTGGTGAGGTGCAGCAAAAGCATCCGTGCGGTTTTCTCCATCGATTTGACCATGACCTTGTTTTTAGGTGTCATAGGCGAGGTAGCTGCTTGGAGGGGGTTAAAATTGAGCAGGGCATTAAGGATCCGTCCCGACGTGGCAGGTCGGGTGCGGACAAGGATCGACAAGCAGTTGAGTGTTGCATCGACGATGAGGGCATCGCTGTGCGATCAGTCAGCGTTGGGCCCGTGTGGGCAAAGAGTGGGAGCAGTCTCACCTGCTCTCCTGTAAGACGCTCAGCATGCGGTCCAAAAGGCCTGTGGCTTCGGCTTCGAGATTCCGAGGGTCGAGCGACTGGTGATTCAACGGAACCTTGTCGAGCGAGACGTCGAGAGCCCCGCCATACTACACGCAAAGGCTTCATCAGCAGGGGGCAATGGTGACAGCTAAGAGGGGCCGCCTACACGAAACTCGGCATTGGATGCGACGGTCTGGGCGAGCACGACACGTTGGGCAAACTTGATGCAACTGATCCTGACCGATGGTGGCGCGGTATCCCATATCCGCAGTATCCTCTGCTTGATCACCACCATTCGCTCCCACGTTACGGTGTCGTAGCCGTTGTTGATGCTGGCAAATCACGCGGGTTAGCTTCGATCATACTGCAAACAGCGACGGGTCATTGTTAATAGGGCCGACGCACATCCACCGCATGGCAAGCGGATATATGCTGGCTGCCGCCTGTATCACGCTTCGCAAGACCAGCCAATCCTGTCTATCGCTCTCAAGTAGGGATTCCAATGTCGTGAGGACATATGGCTGCATCGTCTCCTTCTCCCCGTTGGGCAGCGCAGGCGTCGAGAAAGCCTCGGCCAGGAAGTCGGCGCCCCATCGTCGAAGCTCTACCGGCGCAGAGGGTCCAATGATGGGGATGATTCCCCGCACTACGCTCGGGTAGTATTTGACATCGCCGAGGACGAGTTTACGAGCATCGTCGAGCTGCCGAATCTGATCGGGGACGGAGAGGGTGGTGGCGGTGGCCATGCCGGGCCGACGGTGCGTGTCGGCGACGCGGTAGCCTCGCGGTTTGCGTCGCTTAGAGGGGGCGGGATCGGACGGACGTTGAAGCTCGAGGATTGACGAGCATCTGGGCGTCGCCAGCCAGCTTCAAGGGACGCGGGGTATCGAGGGCGCTGGGTCGGGAGCTGCTGGTCGTGGCGCGCGACGTGCTGTCCGGGGGGGCGTCGAGTGCTCTCAACTCTCGCGTGCAGGTCGCATGCCCATCAATTCCGGTTCAATTCCCGTCGGCGCACGATCAAAGGCGATCGGCCGAAGTCGCAACTGCTGACGTCGCGCGACCAGTCGACGACCGTTGAATGCGGGATCCAGGGTGGCCAGTTGCGGTAGGCGAGGTTTGTGGACAACGAAGTGACGGGAGAAGCTGGAGAGCAAAGACAAGGTTTGGAGTAGGAGCACCTCGCACTTGACGCGGATCCGCGCCCCACCCCCTGCCTGCCTTGCCTTGCTTGCCTGTCTGCGTACTGCGTGCCCAGGTGCTTGTGCCGCCATGACCCACAGAGAAGCCAGCACTGGGAGGTAAGGTACCTGCCGCACTGGCACCCGCGACCACTACGTCAAAGGAACGCATTTAGCCGAGCCTTTGCCGGCCGAATTCCTGTCGGCCCATCTAGGAATGGATCTCGTCTCGACGGCATCGTTCACCGATCTCCAACGACAACTCTCTAACTCACAGGCGTCCTCTCTCCAAGGCCTCGCGACACCAAAGATGCCTGGGTAAGCGCGTGGTAGCTCTTCCCGACCGCGCGCATCGCATGCTGATCGTCCCGCCACAGAGCGCACTCAACCTACTACGACCGCCGGCTACGCCAGGGTCAGGCCCTCATCCGCGCCAGGCGGCCATATCTCGTCAAGAATGCCGTCACGGGACTTGGCCTGCTGACTATTGTCGGCGGGATTTGTATGTTTGATCTACGGCGGACCGACTGTCCGCGCCGTGTCGGCGAGCGAGCTGACCAGCCATGCAGACTACTACACACTCAACGCAGTCGGACAGGACGATTTTGAAGACGTCAAGGTTCCCGAGGCGCCGAGGAAACCCACGGCGGCCAAATGACCTCTCTGCTTTGACGAGAGAAAACCGAAGTGGATATGCCAAACGCTATAACATGGCGGCGCCATGTGCGAGGACACAGCACCCTCGATCACGGGCGAAGCAGTCAAGCACCAACTTGACGTTGGCGACGCATACCGCGGGGCTGTCCATTCAAGCCATCTCCCATCTTTAAAGCACCGCCTTGGCGGTCAAAGTTTTCATGTATCATGTACAATACCCAGCATGTACCCTTTCCCACGTTGTGTACGATTAGGCGTCTCAATCAAGGTCAAGTACCTTTGTACAAAGCCTTTCGTGTCATACAGCTCCATATCTTCCGTACAGGTGATGTTCCGCTCGTGCCTGGGCCAAACGCCCGGTTATCAATGCTCCAACCCAACCTGACCGTCATTCCAATGCCCAAAACCAGGCAGACACGGTCGATATGTACAAAATGAACAAAAGGCATAAAGCCGACGGTTCCTCCGGGGGTATCAAAGCCTCCTATGGCTCTCACTGGCCGCGAGACAAATTCTAATCGCCAACAAAGGTTATGGGGTCTCAGCACCCTGTCGCCATTAATCATGAGTAGTCGCTCGTCAAGCTGCCGCAGTTTTCGGGCCCCGGCCCAGGTTCGGTATGCTTCCCACCCGCTTCATTGGGTGAGTGGCCGAGTTCAGTTTGCTTCGCGTCATCTCCGGCGACTCGGATTTTCGACTTGACATAGCAGGCGACCGGCGAGCCGCAGGCTGCCCGTCAAACGCAGCCTTGACGTCGGCAGGTGGCGGTCCGTTGGCTGGCTGAGCCGTCGGCCCGGCGGCAGTCGAGGACTCGGGCCGAGCCCCGGGTTGTGCGTGGTTTTGCTGGTACTGCTTATGTGCTGAGTGGTTTGGGTTCGCCCACGGCGTGTCCTTGATGAACTGCTCGCCCGCGGGTCCTAGTCGGCTAAATGTTGGGGGTCCGTGGTGGTATTCCTCGCGGGCCTGGACAGGCGGTGGCGGCGGTGGCGGCGGCGGCCTGTGCCGAGTGCGTCGTACTTGCTGTGGGGGTAGGTCAGATGCAGATTCAGAGTTGCAACGAGGGCTCAATCTCCTACCTCAATGGCACTGAAATCCGCATCCACCTCTGATGTCGATGCGCCTCTGAGCTCAGGGCCACTTGGGAAGCCTTCGTACTTGGCGAGCCCGGCAAGCGTGGACACCTCAGTGTTATACGCAATGGCGTTTCGTACTCGCTGCGCCGGGTCCTTGGGGAACAACAAGCCGTAATCGGGCAAGCTGTGCGCCTTGCGCCTGGCGCTCTGCACTTCGTACCACTGTTGATTCAGCTTCTCGAGTGCTAGCTCCCGCTTTTCGCGGATAGCCTGGTAGAACTGGCTCCAGATCTGCGCTCGCTGAGCGACCGCGCGTCGCGCATGCGCTTTCATGCGGTACTCGTATTCGGTGTTGATCTCTTGGATCCGTTTATTGAGCCGATCGTCGATGCACTTCTTCATGTTGAGATACTCCGGATGGGTGGGTTCGTCAGCCAGAAGGGACAGCTCCTCCTCCTCGAGCCGGCGAAGACGGTCCTTGTAGAGCCTGTAGCTTTGAATCAGCATCATAGCGATGTGGCATCAATAGACAAGAAAGCGTACCTGTCTCTGAAGATGCTGAACATTTCCTCGATATGCGTCCAGTCCTTGAAGGCGGCATTCTTTCGCTCCACTGCTCCGAGGATTAGCGTCGATCGCAAGGCTGGGCCTAGCGCAGTAGTACTCACTTTCTTCAATGTTTTTGGCTGCGGCGTCGGCTTCCTCGTCCACGTCCGGTTCGTCTTCGGGCTGTTCGGTCTCGTCCCCAGCCGTGGCCTCAGCTTGATCGTCGCGAGCATCGCTGTCCACATCCGCGGTCACGTCGTCCACGGCCAGGCCTTTTCGTTTTAGAGAGCTACGTGTGGATTTCTTGGCCGGCCGCGCTTCAGCTTCGGCCGGGGTGTCTCTGCGAGACGGCGGGCCGCTTTCGTCGTCCTCGCCCCCAGACTGCTGTCGGCTCATCGGGATCGCCGAAGGGGTATCATCTTCGTTCATGGGCAAATCCTCGTCGGCATCTGCATCGGCCGCTGCGACGGAGCCAGTGCGCTTCCTAAGCGGCTGGTCCGACTCGGATTGATCGGCGAGAGGGGAGCGCTTGCGTTTGCGCTCCTGGGAGTCGTGCTTGAGGTCCTCGTCGACGCTCGTGTCATTTGTCGTAGCTGGTTTCGCAGGCGACTCGTCACCTGCCGCGTGGCTAGAGACGACCGAAGCGTCGTCGCCCGAAACAGACTCGTCGTCTGCGTGGTCGCCGGCGGCACGGGTGGTCCGGCGGAGCTTGCTAGGCGTGTGCTCGAACACCTGGCCGTTGTTGAATTGATCCACGAGGACGTCTCTCTGTCTCTGGTTTTTGGGTGTGTCATATAGTCTTTCTGTCTCCGCCTCGGTGTCGTTGGCATCGGAGTGGACGTCCGACGCGGCATCGGACAGGGCGCTGTCAGAGTCGGAGCCGTCGTGGCGTGCGTCCTGGCGCTCGTCGCCGCTGGCGCTGAAATTGTCGCCGTCGTCGCCGCGAGGGTCGAGCTGCATACGCTCAATGTCGTCGTCGTTGGTATCCCCGTCGTCCACCTCGCTCAGAGGGCTGGAAACGTTGCTGTCCTCGAGGTCCGCCACACCAGGCCCCGCGGGCGACTGGGTGGCAGACGCTGAAGCCGGAGCCGCCATGGCACTGCCAAGGTGGCGAAGGTATGGGGTCGTCCGAGACTTCCAATCCGGAGACGTATCGCAGCACCAAGACGTGTGTTCTCACGGTCGAGAGGCCGTGGCGACGCTGGGCGGTCGGCGGAGAGGCGAGCGTCGGCGCGGAGGGCCAGGCCAGAGCTGCGTGCAGATCCGCAGCACGCAAAGTCGGGCCCGTGATCAGGTGCCGCGAGGGCTGCGGCAGGCGCAGTTGTCAAGGTGCAGCTTGGAATGCGGTCGCCGGAGGTGCACAAGGGCAGAGGCAACGCATGGACGGTGGAGGGTGTGCGAGGGCTGGCTGGAGCAGGAAGAGAGAGGGAGGAGGAGGAGGACGGGAGGGAAGAAGCGAAGCGAGAGGGAGGAAGGCTGGTACCCAGGTCACTTCGCGTGTTGCTGGTGCGGGCAAAGTACCTCTCTGCCGGCGGGCCACTGGGTGCTGGCACTGCTTGGGGGGGTTGCTGCGACCGACCGACTCAGGCGCACGCGCACCAAAAACCAGCCGAGAGCGGGCTGGAGCCGCTGCTGGACCAAAGGCGGTGAGGGCAAGCAGAAAACGCGGGTCAGGCGGCCAGCCGCGGGAGGCAGGCATGACGCAGCGCCTCCCATTGGTCTCGCTGGCTCCCACTCCATTGGCTTTCCCGCCTGGCAGGTGGGCGCCTGCAGGACCCATCCAACCGCCCCGTCCCATCCACCAGACGGAGACTCGCCCAAAACTTTTGGGGGATCATCGCCAGGCCCAAGTGCAGGCCCTGATTTTTTTCCGTGCGATCACGACGGTGCCATTTCCCAGCACCAGCCAGCGCCCAAGATGCCGAAAAAGTACGTCAAGCTGCGGCAGGCCCTAGGCGGCTCCCATTCCGTCTTTCCACGTCCTTTTGGCTGACAATTGCCTCAGAACAGTCTCTGCGCTGGGCGTCGCCTCCAAGGCCATAGACCCCACCCTCGATGCCCTCTTTGCCTCCAGTGTAAGTTGCACCGCCTGCTCTCCCGCGCGCCGTGCCCAGTCGCTGACATTGCACTCCAGGCCGGCCCGGTCGCGGCACCTGCAAAGTCTCGCTACTCTGCGCCGTCTGACCCCAAGTCCGCGCCCGACGCTGGCAGCGAGGACGGCGACGACGAGGTCTTGTCCGAGATAAGCGAGGAGCTCTACTACGAAGATGACGATCAATCTGGCAGCGAGGGCACGTCCTCGGAGGGCGACGACGATGAAGCAGAGGAGGCCGCCAGCGACGAAGAGCCTGCCGTAAACGGCCAACCGCCGGCGGCGGCAGTCGCAGAGGCAGTAGAGGAGGCGCCCAAGGCCCGGCGGGAGCGCAAGCGCAAGAGAAAGGACGACAATGACGAGCTCGAAGCCAAGTACCTCGCCGAACTGTCCAAAGACGACGTCCCCGAGCACGAGTCCAAGCGATTCAAGGGCGAGCGCACCGAGCAAGACCAACCTGCCGCCGACGACGAAGACGTGCCCATGCACGAGTCCCTCGCTAAGGATCCCAACGTCTCAGACGTCGAGCGTGCGTCCCGGACGGTCTTCCTCGGCAACGTCTCGTCGGAAGCCATCTCAGACAAGAAGGCGAAGAAGACGCTTATGACGCATCTGTCGTCTGCCCTCGACCCCAACGACTCGCCGCCCCAGAAGCTCGAGTCCCTCCGGTTCCGGTCCGTCGCCTTCTCTACTGGCTCTATGCCGAAGCGCGCGGCCTACATCACCAAGTCCCTCATGTCCGCCACGACCAAGTCTTCCAACGCATACGCCGTCTTCTCCTCGACGGCCGCCGCTCGCCGGGTTGTCTCCGAGCTCAACGGCAGCGAGGTTCTGGGTCGGCACATTAGGGTAGACAGCGTCGCGCACCCCAGCCCCATGGATCACCGCAGGTGCATCTTTGTGGGGAACCTCGGCTTCGTCGACGACGAGACGGTCCTAAACACCGACGGCGACGGCAAGACGGTGGAGAAGAAGCGCACCAAGGTCCCCGCAGATATCGAAGAGGGCCTGTGGCGGACATTCAGCAAGCAAGGCAAGGTTGAGAACGTACGTGTCGTGCGGGATCCCAAGACGAGAGTCGGCAAGGGATTCGCGTACGTGCAGTTCTACGTAAGTTTCTTCACTGCCCCCTCCACAGAACATTCATCACGTACTAAACGAATCCAGGACGGCAACGACGTCGAATCTGCCCTGCTCCTCGACGGCAAGAAGTTCCCTCCCATGCTGCCCCGCGCCCTCCGCGTCACACGGGCGAAGGACCCCCGCAAGACGGCCCTCGCTCAGGAGCGCGCCAACGCCAAGGCGCACGCCTCGGACAAGCAGGCAGCGCGTGGCACGGGCTACAGGCCCAAGATCACCCCCGAGCAGCAGGCTGCCGCGGGCCGCGCCGGCAAGCTCCTCGGCCGCGCCGGCGCCGCGCACATGCACCGGAGCAGCAAGGGTGGTGCCCCCAACGGCAGCGCGCTCGACGGGAAGAAGACGCCGGAGCAGATCGTCTTCGAGGGCAGGAGAGCGTCCTCCAAGGACGGCCGGCCCAAGGACCTCAAGTTCGGCAAGAAGGGCAAGGGCAAGAAGACCCGGCCGATGCACAGGGGCGCGCGGAGGGCCGCGGAGTGGAAGAAGAAGACACCGTCCAGCTGAGAATGTACACGACGGTGAAAGATGATGGACAGTGGTGTTGTCAGGCGACGAACGTGCATCGTCGTGTCACGGGGGCACATGTGGGCCATGTCAGGATTGCCTTGGGCAATGAGTCTCAGGGACCGGAATCGGAGTTTTGCAGAAAAGGTCTGGCGTGCATACTGTAAGGCATAGACAGACAGGCGCAAACCATCGCATTGCATAAAATTCATTCGAGCACGCAAGCACGCTCGCACACAACAGCCATGATCCAAGCCGGAACAAAGAAAGGGATATCACCAACACAATTTTCCTGCCTGCTTGCTCGCCTGCCTACCAGCTGAACAAAACTAAAGAGGTGGAAGTAGACCCCGTCCATCCGTCCATCCGTCCATCAGGATCGACACCAAAAGATCATCTACCGAAACGATCCAGGGCCAAGCTTCCGCAGAAGCGGGAACCATACAACCTCGCCTCGTCCTCCCCGAACAGACGCTGGGCCCTGAGCAGGGAGGCGCCCACGCACGGTGTACACCCAGGACCGTCTAAAGAGCCGCATCGCAGTGTAAATCAAAAGGAGGAGAAATTCAAGAGCGCCAGTGGTATTGACGGCACATCGCTTCAGGTGCCTAGTACTCAGCCTCCTCCTCGGGCTCGAAAGAGTCGGCGGCGACCTCCTCGTAGTCCTTCTCGAGGGCAGCAAGATCCTCACGGGCCTCGGTGAACTCGCCCTCCTCCATGCCCTCGCCGACGTACCAGTGCACAAAGGCGCGCTTGCTGTGCATGAGGTCGAACTTGTGGTCGAGTCGGGACCAGGCCTCGGCGATGGCAGTGGTGTTGGAAAGCATGGAGACGGATCGGTCGACGGAGGCGAGGCCGCCATCCTCGGCGGAAGCGGGAACGGCCATGGGCTTCTGGTAGTTGATACCGAGCTTGAAACCGGTGGGGCACCACTCGACGAGGTTGAACGAGGCCTTGGCCTTGACGGCGGCGATGGCAGCAGTGCAGTCGCGGGGGACGACGTCGCCACGGTACAGCAGAGCAACAGCCATGTACTTTCCGTTGCGCGGGTCGCAAACCACCATCTGGTTGTTGGGCTCGAAGCCTGGGGGCTAGCGTTAGCGTCTGGTCTCTGGGATCTCGCCCGCCCCTTTGGAGCTAGTGCTGTCTACTTACACTGGAAGGTGAGGTCGTGGACCTTGAAGCCCTCGTGCGCACTCTTGGCAGCAGAGACCACGGGCGCGTAGCTGATGAGCGGGTAGTGGATGCGGGGGTAGGGGACCAGGTTGGTCTGGAACTCGTTCAGGTCGACGTTGAGGGCGCCGTCGAAGCGAAGAGACGAGGTGATGGAGCTGACGACCTGGGCAATCAGACGGTTGAGGTGGTCGTACGAGGGCCGGGGGATGTCAAGGTTGCGGCGGCAGATGTCGTAGACGGCCTCGTTGTCGACAAGGAAAGTGCAGTCCGAGTTCTCAATGGTGCTGTGCGTCGACAGGACAGCGTTGTAGGGCTCCACAACGGCCGTGTTGGTGCGGGGAGACGGGTAAACAGCGAACTCGAGCTTCGTCTTCTTGCCGTACTCGGTAGCCAGGCGCTCAAGCATCAGAGCACCAAAGCCAGAGCCGGTGCCACCGCCGAAGGAGTGGAAGATGAGGAAGCCCTGCAGCGACTGGCAGTTGTCTGGCGAGACAGGCAGGATCAGCGGGCCGTTCTCAAGCGCCACCTGGCGGCAAAGGAAAGCGTTGGAAACTTACCGGCAACGCGACGAACACGGTCCATAACGTCATCGACCATCTCCTTGCCGATGGTGTAGTGACCTCGGGCATAGTTGTTGGCCGCATCCTCCTTGCCGCTGATGAGGAGCTCGGGGTGGAAGAGCTGGCGGTAGGCCCCGGTACGGATCTCGTCGATGGGAGACGGGTCGAGGTCCATGAAAATGGAACGGGGAACATGCTTGCCGCCGCTCGTCTCGGTGAAGAACGTCTCGAAAGAGCCCGGGTCGCCGACATCCTTGGCGTTGGGGTCGGGGCGGCCATCGGGGCCGAGGCCATGCTCGAGCAGGTAGCTATCACCACCACGGTCAGTGTCTGCGGCGCGCGGGGGTGCGGATGGTGAATCGGGTTCGGGGATGGGAGCGGAACAACGTACAGCTCCCAGGCAGAGTTGCCAAGCTGGGTGCCAGCCTGGCCCAGGTGAAGGTGAAGAATCTGTCGACGCGCTCGCTGGTCAGCACTGCAGGCGGTGGTGTTGAGGTCGGCTCAGGGGCATGCAGGCAGGCCACGGGGCTCTTGCTCTGCGAGGCTTCCCCGCCACTCGCAGATGGCGGCGGAAGCACGGCGGACTCACCTCGCCCTTCATGTTGGAAAGTCAATAAGCGACCCGGGTGCCAGCGGACGTGATGAATCGGTCGAAGATGGGGACGGGGAAACACAACACGACGGGGGGGGAAGAAGACCAGTGCTGTTGGATTTCCGTGGACGGATGGATCCAATCGCAGGTGTTTTGGGGAGAGAGCAGCAGCTGTGGGCTTTTTGGCGGGGTCGAGCAGCAGCAGCAGCAGCAGCAGCCGGAGCAGCAGGGGCGCCGTCGTCACAGGGGTCATTGTCGGCTGCTGTAAGTGCTGGTGGGGGTGTGCCCGTGTGAACGTGTGAATCTGTTGACGGCCCACCGGCGCAGGTATCGGGGACCTGGGAACGGCGCCGACTTCTGCAGCGGCGGCGAGTCTCAGCGACCCCTCACCGCCAATTGGTGCATGGCGGTTGCTTGGGCAAGTCCCCCCAATCAAGCCAATATCCATCGAGGCAGGGGGTGGCTTGCGCTAGAAGGGGGGGGCCCCGACGCACGGGTGCTGTGCTGTGCCTGGGCTCCATGTTGCTGGTGCGCTGCGGTGTCCCCTGTGCCGCGAGCACCCTGCGTTTCCAATCCCCCCCCTGTGCCGAGATGGCGCCTGCGGCCGGCTGTCACGCCGCCCGGGCCAGATTCCGCGGAAGCGAGATTCATCAACGCACAATTTAAGGGACGCACACGCCCGCGTGTCGTCGTCGTGCATGGAGGCGATGATATACCATGAGCCAGCCAAAGTACTAAGGCTCTCGCTGCTCGCCCGTCAACTGGCACAATGGAAGCTCATCCGGTGGACTGCAGTGGAGACAGCCGACGGGCCATTCCCGTCTGTTAGCGGCAGCCACAGCTGCCTCGTGTCTCATTGGGCGTCTGAGCCGGGCTCGGAGGAGATGATATGATTATCTCTGTGCAACAGCCAACTTCTGGAGTCCTTCGCATCACGCGCTGCCTTGGTTCTGGCATCACGCCGTCCCCGCAACCACAGACAGTCAGTAATATCAACACGAACCCCCTTCGCTGGCCCGCAGCCACGTCAAGTGTTTTGGAGAGCCACGGCCTAAACTCCCGAGGCTCCAGGGTAGACATTGTCTAAGCGTCCCCCCCACACACGCAATCACCTGGGCGAGACAAGATGACGACAAAACAGTCGGCAATGCACGCGTGAACCCTGAACCCGGGCTCCCCGCAGAGCATCACATGGCTGCGAGACTTGCGTCGTGGGCAGTCAACAACCAATCCAGATCATGGCAATGCGTGTTTGCCTTGGCAAGACTCTACCGTAACATCAACTTAATCAAGGCTATGTCTCCCCGTTGCCCGCCGGCTTTTATGCACCTGACCCCTAGCCGGGCCTCGCCCAGCCCTTCTCCCGCAAAGTGGTATCGTGCAGACGGTCGGATGCCGTCATCGAGGTACAGAAAGACAGAAAACAGTGGCGACACGCGCGACATTACAATACTATTATATCACCGCCGCTCAGGGGTGGCGCGTGTCGCCTGCGTCGGCCCTCTCCAACTCCTCGAGCCGGCGCTGGATGGCCGCTTTTTGCGCGACGAGGACGCGTATTTCCTCGTCCCGCGCCACGGTGCTCTCCCCTTCCCCGTCCGCCGGGCTGGTCGACGAGGAAGCTAAGGATGCCTCATATGCGGGCGGTGGCTCCGCCAAGGTTCCGTCGGGCAGTCGCACGCCGCCTGGGCCATACATGTCGGGGACGCAGGTGAGTTCGTGCTGGCCCTGGTTTGCGGCTCTCTTCCTGCGCCGCCGCTTCCTTCGTAGAATGCAGTACGTGATGGCGGCGAGCGTTATGGACACGAAGCCCGCCACACCTAGGGCGATGCCGACGCGAGCGCCCACGGTCAGCGGACGCGGTTGGTCGGGCACGTCTCCAATCTGGTTATCGTTGGTCAGGCCTAGCTGCTTCTTGTCCTGTTCCATGAAGAGTGCGCGAATGGTGTTGACGGCCATGGTTGCGGATGTGAGGGTGGTGGTGGAATTCGTCAAGATATCGTAAGTGCTGGCGGTGCGGTTGTATGAGATGGGCACGGCAAGGACGGTTGGGACAGACCGCTTGCAATGTGAGCCATCGAGAGAGTAGTATCTGCGCAAAGGTAAAGTCAGCTCGGGATCCAGCGGCACAGCACGACTTTATGACTTACGAGGAGCAGCATATGGCCGTGGTGGTTGCCTGGATGGCGTCCTCGTCCGTGTTGACACGAAGGGAGACGGTCGTCCAGCCATGGGGGCAGGTCGCGGGGCTGAAGACGCCCGTGCGCCCGTCGAAGAACATGCCATCTGGATAACACGACAAGGTGCTTGCGCCGGACCTGGGCTCGAGGTCAAGCCAAGCGATGGCGCCTGAGGAGGCCTGCTGTAACGGGTCATCGGCGACATAGGTCCATGTACAGCTCTGGGGCTTGGTCCAGTACGTGGTCATTGGCGGAAACGTCTGCGTGGTGGCATGGTGGTCTTCAGAGGATGTCGAGGTCTGCGTCGATGTGAGGTTGAAGCCGGGCCGGGGGACTGGTGATGTGGTTGAGGCGGGCAGGACGGAGGTGGGACCAGTTGCCGGCGCTGGCGACGACGACATGATAGGAGTGGAAGGGGTAGGCTATCCCGAGATCTCGAGGTCAAGGACGGCGAGGGGATAGCTCGGTGCTGTCGATATCGCCTTGGTCCGGTCCGTGCCCGTGACGGCTGGCGGCGGCTGGTGTGGCTTACAAGGCGTGGGATGAGGCCGATGGCCCGGGTCCAGCTTGCTCCCTGGTCGCTCGTCTCCGGCGCCGGGACATGCATGCATGGCCCGCGGGCTGAGGGACGGCAGGCCCACGGGCAACGGCGGTCCCGGGGAGGGGAAAGGTGGGCCGCGGAGGGAAAGATGAGGCGTTGGTGAGGGCGGATGGCGATGGCGATGACCGGTGGCTGATGAGTGAGCAACGCGATGCCAGAGCCGACGATGGCCTGGCCTGCGTGTCAGCCCACACCAGACGGTCGCCCTGGGACGCCTGGGGCCCGTCCAATTCGGCGTCTGAAGGGCCGGCCGGGCGGATGGATCAGGCCCTGCACCGTTGGTTTGGAGGAGGAGGACGGCGACGCTGTCGAGAGGCAGGGCGCACAGCGTCGTTGGTATCAAGGCGCGACAGCAGCGGCGGAGCGTCGTCGCGGGCGTGGATGCTCGCAGACACGGGCGGCGACGTCGAGATTCTATGCACACTCGAAAACGGCTCCCCTCAGGGCAGGGCACAGCCCGGGCGAGGGCGAGGGTCGCGTCCTTTTGTCGCTGGACGACGGGCGCTGCGCAAACCGAACCGCAGGGGCTTGGCGGCATCGCTCAGCGGAAAAGGCGAAACGACGCCGAGACCGCCAAGACCCGAGCCGGCCGCTGCCCAGCATGGCATGGCACGGCATGGCATGGCATGGGTCGCTCCTTTTCGAACTTTTGGCGGCTGGTGTCACCCACTTTCCTCCAACTCGCGCGGGTCGCTGACGGCAATAAGCTGGAATACTGTGACATCTTTGGGGGGGTTCTTAGTGCCAGCTAGGTAGGGTATTTTAAAGGCACTAAAACGGGCATCGCATGGATGCTCCCAAGTGCTGCGTGTATCGTCGCAGGTCGAACCTGGGAGGCACGCCGGCGCTGGCGTGCTACTGCTGCGGGACACCCTGGGTGCCCGAAGGTTGGTGGGATTCTGCACGGAATAGTACCTGGGGGAGAGAAGCCAAAAAAGGATGCCAAGTTACCGCAGGCTGTCCCACTCCTATACATACTACCTAGTAAGTTACTGCCTCAACATACTTCGGACGCGCCTCGTGCTGCATCTGGTTGTTGGCACGAGTCAATATAAATGACAGCGGGCAGTCTGGGCGGACACGGAACTCTCCAGGCCAGGTAGGTAAGTTAGGTACCGCCCCTGCGAGCCCCAGCGCCCCAGCGCCAGCGCTACGGAACACCGCTTCGGGCGGCACCACCACCACTTCCCGTCACCACCAAAACTGCCGCCGCGCCGGGTCCCAAAGACGGGATCCATAGTACCACGGCCTGGACGAGTACCTACCCAACACCTCGCCCACGGCGCCCTTGCACGCCGTCCAACGCCAAGCGTCCCGACGTCGTCTCGGCGCCAGCTCAGTCGCTGTCGCATACCTGGGCATTCCTGAACGACGCAATAGCCCTCGCGTCAAGCGCGCCTTGGCCTCTGGGTCGCTGCCTGCCGGCGACAGTGCTCAGCGCCGCCCGTCCAAACCGACTCCCGGCGCGGCCACGCCTCGACACGGACAGGTCCCGAACCCTCGTCCATCGAACCCCTCCCGGACGCCGAGACCTGCGCCTGGGCGAGGGTACGTGTATCTCGCACCCCATGTGACCGCCCTGCCGACGAGGTACGAGCCCATACGAAGTATTGCTTCACTCACCTTGTCCCGGCTTGCCGGTCCCCTATCGAACCCTCGTCGCTCTCGTCCAACCCTGCCCGCAGGCCAAGCCTGTCCAGCGCCAGCAGACGGCCGTCGGCAGTTACACAGGGCGCGCGCACCGCCGAAGCGAAGCATCACAAACCACGCTCACTGAGTGGATGGCGCAGGATTGCTTGTCAAACAGCTAACCGAGAGCCGTCTGGATCGGCAACGCGCGGCGCACTTGCGGACCGCAAAAGGCTGCCGTCGTCCCAATTTATCGGCCGTGTCCTGGTCCTTCTCCGTGGGACGGAGTACTCCGTGTCCAGCTTCGAGACCCCCAATCGTCCATCGTACAAGGAGCGGCGCGGCCGTGATGTTGCCGTCGTGCTTGTGCGTCACCACTTCGTTCCAGATGCGAGGCACAGTAGAGTACGCGAAGCCGCGATGCCAGCGCCATGCACGGCGAGGTCGGACTCGTTTGACGATGAAGTGACGTCTCGCATTGCCGGTCGTGCCACCGCCAATGCCACCATCACCTTTGCCGAGCCGCCGCCTTGTGGACTGCTCCTCTGCTGCTTCTTCTGCTTCCGCGGCGAGCACCGCGCAACTCTCCCAGCGCCGTCGGCGCAGTGTCGTAGCACATGCGGGTGTGATGAAGGCTTCTTGGCCCCAAGGCCCAGACGCTGGGTCTCAGTCTACTTGGACGAGGTGCCAGGCTTGGCAAGGCCAGCTTCCTGTTCTGATGTCGACGACAGGGGGAGCTGCACGTGCCGCCTCCGAGAGCGGCTAGCCAGAAATCCGGTGTCCAAGTCTCTCTCTCTGACCGGCTAATCGACGGAGATGGCTCGGACGGTCTGTGATGAATAATAAATACCCCACAATCTCAAGCCCGACGCCCAGCCCACAATCCGTTCAACAGTCGCCAAAACTCTCACGTGACGCGAGGGGCGAAGGGCACGAAAACCCTACCAGCAAATTTTGGAGTGGCCTGGCTCGTCAACCCGCAAGCGACTCAACAGCCCTCCTACGACTCCATCCCGGCAACCACATTCGCTCGTCGATACATCGATAGGCGAATTCGAGAACTCCAACACCGCGATCATGGCTGACGAATACGTACGTTGACAACTTCCCTCCACGATATACTCGACGCCGGCGGTGCGACGGCAGGCTGTCACCGTCTCTCGCCGTGCCCCTGCCTGTGCCCTCGACCGACGATGATGATGAGCGTGGATCACTGACAGAGTGTCGATATTTTAGAACGCCGAGGAGGCCGCCGAGCTCAAGAAGAGAAGAGCCTTCCGCAAGTTTTCCTACCGAGGAATCGACCTTGACAAGTACGTTTTTCTGAACCGACCTCGAAACTCGCCCCGAACGGAGACGAAAGACTTTACACGATTCGGAAGACGAGGAAGGGTGTTTTCAGGCAGGAGCAGACGTGCTGATTGATTTTCCCACAGCCTCCTGGACCTCAGCTCCGACCAGCTCCGCGATGTCGTCCACGCCCGCGCCCGCCGCAGGATCAACCGTGGCCTGAAGCGCCGCCCCATGGGCCTCATCAAGAAGCTCCGCAAGGCCAAGCAGGAGGCCAAGCCCAACGAGAAGCCCGACCTCGTCAAGACCCATCTCCGCGACATGATTGTCGTCCCCGAGATGATTGGCTCCGTCATCGGCATCTACTCTGGCAAGGAGTTCAACCAGGTGGAGATCAAGCCTGAGATGGTTGGCCACTACCTGGCTGAGTTCTCTATCTCATAGTACGTCCTCCTCCCGTCTCGCCCGCCATCGTGTCGCCGCGAGGGAATGGAAGCGCTGACCCCCTCCCGCAGCAAGCCCGTCAAGCACGGCCGACCCGGTATCGGTGCCACGCACTCTTCTCGTTTCATTCCCCTCAAGTAAGAAGGCTGTGGTCTCGGGTGGTTTCTGCATTCACGGACATGTTACGGGCGAAAAGGACTGGGCTTGGCAGGGTGGCGATGCCCCTGCCAACGTATCTGATGACAATGGGTACCATGATAGTACAATAAGGAGCATTGTCCTCTTTTCATCGCAACTGCTGGTTCCTTGGCTGCTGCCCGTTTCTGGTGATGCCTCATCTTTGAAGTCGATTGGATACGCTCACTCCAACCACGAGCACGACCGTCTGGTATCTTTTGCAAGCTGCCTGTCCAGCAACGTGCAAAGGTGCCATTGATGCTTGATGGGACTCAATGGCTACCCAAGATGACGTACCATTCGCCACCAGAGTACAACAGCTCCTCGAAGGCATCGCGTACTACATCATTGTGTGCTATGAGCCCATGATATGTAGCCCCGCAAAGCTGACTGACATATCAGCCACGATTTCCTGCCCCAACCCTCAACCATCCATGGGCCTCCAAGGACGTGAGCCGAACGACCAATTCTTGGTAACCACGTCCTACAAGGAGACGGGAAAATAGTAGTTGTGCTCGTTGAATCAGCATCCGTCCGACTATCAGGCTCATGCAAGTACCGCATGCCCACGAATCGAACATGCCCCAACAATTTCCCTCCTTGGGCCCTACTCACTTGTCCTCCTCGCTCCGTTGATATCACAATGTAAACGCATTGCGTAGTATTCGATGACCACAAGGAAGGGTTGTCAGCCTGATCGGTCTCAGACTATCGACAGGGACGCAGGGGAGCCAAGCTTTGTCATTGTCTGACTGCATCCACGCTGGCTTCTGTCACCGTACGGAACAGACTACCTGTGAGAGTGCCATAGATCTCGCCGTGACTTGACTTTCGCAGCGACTACTAGTCGGCGACGGGCACATGATGGCGCATGGTAGGGCCACTCCTTCGTATGTGTCACATAGAAAGACGCAGACGAAGTGCTTTGCTTGTGTATGCTGGCCCTGCGTTGTGGGCCGTGCGCTATGTGAGGACTGCACTTGGAGCCGGACGGACGGCCCTGCATTTGGTTTAATCTCTGGGAGCCAACGTTCTCACCGATAATGCATCGGCTCGAGACGAGTACCCATCATAATGAATTGGGCAGCGACAGACGCACACTTTTGAACAAAGAAGAAATCACGTCTCCGTATTGGATTCGACGCTCATCAGGCTCTATACCGCGCCCCCGTTTGATGTACATTCCTCTTTCCCGGGCAGTCCTCCTGCTCCGGCTCCGCTCCTCCTTCCCCCAGCCACATAATCATCATCTCAAGCCTCCCGCTCGGCGAGCTTCTTGGCCTTGCGCTCCTCGTCCTTGACGTGCTGCTGCTTGTAGTGCTCGACGACGCTGTCCAGGTTGATCAGGTGGCCGGCCTGGATGTTTCGCGGGGCGTGGGATTGGAAGGCCCTGCAAGGTGGCATCGCAATGGTCAGCTCATGATTCTTTTCCTCCCACAACTATTGCGGTGGTATGTGCCCCGCCCGAGCTATACAACCACATTAATGTGTGGTGAAACACGTTCGCGGAAGAGATGCGCATCGACGATGCGTGTGTGCGTGTGCGTGTGCGTGCGTATGATCATGGTGCCAGGAAGAGGAAGGGGGATTGAGGGGATGATCGGAAGAAAAAAGGTCTCGACGTACTCGGGGTAGGCGACGTCGACGAATCGGTGCTTGTTGGAGGCGTTCTCAAACAGGTTGCGGTCGAAGCCGGCCTGCTCCATGGCCTTTGTGTGCAGCGCGTTGATCTCCTCCCAGTCCTCCGCCTGCGACGTGTACTTGTGGATGAGGCTCGTGATGGCCGAGTCCTCGCCCTTCTTGGGTGTGAATTGGTAGAAGAGCACGGCGCCGAAGAATAGGGCGACCGTCGCCTTGGATCCCGACTATGGCAGCCACCCCTGGTCAGCATTTGCGTCCATCACACGGGGAGGGGTTGGCTGCGCAGGGCCCTGGAGGCGAGCGGGTGGGCGACGCCGGCAGAAACTCTGCCCAGAGTTCGTTCCTCCAGGTGCGAGCAGCAGCAGCAGCGGCAGTGGCGGCGGCGGCGGAGAGGAGGCAGAGGCAGACTCACCCCAAAGGACTCGCTGGCCGCGGCGGCGGGCTTGTGGGCGTCGGAGGCGTAGCCGCGAGCTGTCCGCTGCAGCTGGCGGGCCATTTGGCCTGCCCGTTGTCGTGCGGCGAACATGTTGGCAGGGCTGGCGTCGTCAATTGAAGGTCGATTGGAACGAAACTACCCCAGGAAAGCCGCGCTGCACTTCCGGATCCAAAGTGAGGTTGTCGCGGGTCGGGGCTTGGGGCGGTTAGGTAAGCGGAATCGGCCAATCACGGGCGGGATGACTGTGGCTCACATTACTGGCCGCCGGTCTGCTGCGCTCCTGCTAGTGCGGCTATGCAAGTTGCGCATTCGAGTGAGTGAGTGAGTGAGTGAGCGACGAGTGAGTGCGCCCACACTAATAAATCGCCTGTAACAAGTCGACCCAACCACTGTCGTGTGCGTCCTCACTGGCCGGTGAGGCGAGCTGCAGGGGCCTTCAAGTGTGAGCACCAGGAATAAGGTACCCTGAGCTTTCTGTGCCGTACGAAGTACTCGTACCAAGTGCTTTCTGGGCCGCTCCCGCAGGCACCTCTTGCCGTCGCCCCCTTTCCTGTTGTGTCTCGTCTGTCTCAGGCCATGGCCGAAACAATCGCTGTCGACTGCGTTCCTTGCTACAGACGTCTCCCACCAGATCGGACTGATTCACGACGACTTGCCAGACGGTATTGGGGTTGCAAGCCGTAGTCGGAGCCGGCCCCTGCTCTCCCGTGCGAGCTCGTTCTCGAGCGCACTGCACATAGCAAATGGTCCTCCCTCACGGCCGAGACCAGTCGCGGTCGAGCAGATCCCCCGACTCGCTCCGGAGCCTGCCATTCGCCAGCCGCCGAGCGAGCAACGGGACCGGTCAAGCAGATCCCTGGCGGATGACACCCAGACGGCTTCCCAGCCCTTGCGTCCATCCAACCTCGTCGTGCTGCCTGGCCCAGACGAGCAGCCGGCGCCGTCTGTGGCGAAAGCCTTCCGTCCGCCCAGATACTACTACGAGTACCACCTACATGCCATCATGCGTACCTACCTAGCATGTCTGGCCTGGGTACGGTGCCGCCGCCCGGTTGCATCACAGCGCCCTTTGGTGTAAGCCCTCCTGTCTCGGCTAATCTCGTCCATCGCGCGCCAGCGTCCCATCCCTCTGGCTTCTCCTGCATCGAGAGCACGAGGCGGTGCTGCATGAACGATCCGGATAGGGTCTGCCGGTAAGGCTCATCATCGCTCGTACGAGCCGTGTACAGTACCTGCCAAGTATTATATGCGAGACGGCATGCCCGCGTCCTGCGTTCGATAGCTCGGCCTGCCTTTGTCCTCCTTGGCAGATCCGGGTTCCCGACTTGACCGGTCCTCCGCCCCTGCTCGCCTTCCCGGATGGATGCGCCATGTCTGAAAAAGCAAATCCTCGATGAGAGGACTGCGTGGGCCTGCCCACAAGTGCAGGACACGGTACTCGCCAATGGCCAATTGAATCTGGCGACCTAGGGAGAAGAGAGATCCCGGTGTGCAGTCCAACAGCCATCATGCATGATGCCGATGCACGCTCGCGCGACGGGAAAGAGGTTCAGGCCTGCCGTGCCACCCCAGCACGGAGGAAGCTCAGGAGCAGGACCCAGGAACCCGGTACCCCCAAAAACGACCACTCCCCGATGAGGACGCCGTGTCGCGGCTCGACGCGATTCAATGCGCCGCCCCGACTCTCCCCCAACACCCCGTGTCCTTGCCTTGTTTGCTTGCCCCATGGGTCGCACGGCTTCGGTCACGGAGCCGTGGCCAGGAACGTGCGTGGCCGACTGCCACCGAACCACCAGCGGTGGGTAAAGCCGTCGCTGTGGCTTGCACGGGCGGCTGGTGAGAGTCCCGGTGACGGCGGGAGGTCTCGGAACTCTACACTCAGTTGCTCATCCGTCTCTTGGCTTGCGACCGGCGAGGACGAGGGCGGAAGGCCCTCTTGACAACCAAAGATATGGCGGTACCCTGGGACTCGTCTCCTCCTCAGCCCGTTCACCAAGTGCCTCGGAGTCTTGGAGAGAATCAGGGTCGTCGCTGGCCGCAACAGCTGTCCGCCGCGCACCCGCCCAGTGCACTCCCGGGACTCGACACCGGCAGGAGCAAACCAGCCGGTATGCCTACCGGCATGGCACCAACCGCCCTACCAGCGAGAGATGTCGTGCGGCCCTCGGCTGGAGTGGCGTCTCCGGCTTCAATATTCCAGCCCTGGCTATTCGAACCAGTTCTCGCCGCAAGCATGCCCTCCTTTTACGACGTCATTCGTATGTGCAACAAGTTCGACAGGGACGTCGGCAGTCTGTGGGAATTCCGCTTGCTCGACAGCCAAGGGCCCGTGGGCTACATGCTTCCCGAGTTTGTTGCCGAGATGCGCTGGGATGGAACCGACTTTCGCATTTCCAAAGCCGAGCGCAAAATCCACCTAGCTCCGCGAATCGGCCTCGGTGACGACGTCGTCGACATCTGCCGACTAGAGTTCGTCAAACTATGCGAGAAGAACCTGGGTGTGCTCGGAGGTGTGCGAAAATGGCTGGAGAAGAGGTGCGACTACCACCCTCTCCGTGGACTCGAGGACCACCTCGTCGGTATCAAGATGCCCGCTCCTCTGCGCGGCGTCTTTGGTATCGTGACGACGGGGACACACCTGAACGTGTACACGGTGAAGCGGGTTGATGGACGACCAAAGATGCACATTTGGGTTTCAAGACGGTCACAGAACGTGACATATGCCGGAAAGCTTGACCAGATCGTTGCCGGCGCAATGGATCCCAGGGACAGCATGGACCCACTGAAGACGTTGCAGCGAGAAGCCATGGAGGAGGCACAACTGACGGTCGATATGAGCTCTCGGATGGTGACAGCCCAGGGCACCTTCGTCGGCACGGTGGTGGAAGGGCCTCGGATTTCCTTCTACGACAAGAAGGATTCAGTGGCCGGTTCGGAGCAGGGCCAGCTGGAGCCTGGCGTTCGCTTCACATTTGATCTCGAAGTGGACCCAAGCTTCGTCCCGCGGCCGAGCGAGCCCGACGCCATTGCTGGGTTCTTTCTCAAGCCCGTCGACGACGTCAAGCGGGATCTGAGGCGAGCCGAATGGAAGCCAAACTGCGGCCTTGTCATGTTGGACTTTTTGCTACGCAAGGGTCTGATACGGCCTGAGGACGACGAACGATTTAGCCTGCTGAGGCAGGGGCTGCAGAGAGAGCTGCCTTTCCGGAACGTCTGACGGATAGAAATGGACGGCTATAGGTGTGTTTGCTTGTGGCGTGGATGCTGGCGTTGGTATGAAGCGATATAGGTTGTGACTGAGCCCCATAGGTTGTCTGCTCCTTGCGCGCATAGATCAATGAACGTCGAACCGCAACTGTCTACCTTGTGACCCGTCTGTGACTGTCGGTGAGTGCCTTTCGCCTCCATGTTGGCTGTAAGCTGCCAGTCAATGGCCGCCAAGCTGTTTGGCTGCGTCAGGGATCCATAAACGTGACAGATTTGCCAGACGGCATCGATTTCGTGGACAGCTGCGGTGATATGCCTGCTGAGGCTGGGTGATTATTACATCGGCATGGCGGGCTCTCAGTGTCCGTTTCACGATTTGGAGTTCGTTTTCTGGACTGCCGTTAGCGCTCTTGGTGATGCAAGGTGCACGTGTGTGCCCCAGCCATGCGATTGCTTGTTCTGGCGTCGTCCATTTGTGGGGTCCAGACCACTTACATACCTACGTGCTGCTCTCACTCCTCATTGTGAGTGATTCGCAAGAACTGGCCGTCAGAAATAATCAGGGGGACTTGTGGCGGTCGACGTGCAGAACACCAACGCGGAAACGGGGCGCAGGCCCTGTCGATGGTCTTGCAAGAAACCTGTCAGTGGAGTCTCGCAGCTAGGCCCAGGCATCAAGGGCCCTCAGGACCCAGGTGGTCAGGATGGTTGATCTAGCTCGAGGGCCGAAGCCGCTCGAGAATGCGGCTCTGCATTTGGGCAACATGGGCCTGTTGGGATGGCGCGGTCCCGTTCCGCAATCGATGGCCGTGGGCACAGGATTGCGGCGGTGTCGCTAGCCAACGTTGCGCAGAGAAACAACATCGGTTGGCAGAAGCGCGGTCGGCCTGCACGTCTTCGGACATTGGCGCGTGCTGGGCAGAACCGCACGGAGGGGCTGTGTAACGTGCAGCCATGTGAGATCCCATGGGCCCTCCCGCCCTGCGGGCGCAGAGGCGACGGCATGGATGGATCGATGATGGGCGCGGGACGGAGCAATTGTGGGTCTGAGAGGAGCGCCGGTGTACTGGCCAGACGACCTCCACAAGGATCGTCAGCCTCCTCCGTCGACGTTGGTGGTGGTGGTGGTATTTTTGGAGTCGCTGCTCCGGCTGGTGAAAGTGAGGGGAAGGTGGCGGGCAGAGCGTGCATATCGTGGCTGGTCGCAAGAGAAGTTGTGTGGCCCCCCGAGCCGTTGAGTCGATGGACTCAAGTCAATTGATGAATGGCAGTTACTGACAAAGCTGTGCCCCATCGCTCCTGCCAGCGAGAGCATCTGGGGCTCTGGCATCTGGGCGATGCTGGAGAAAATTGAGGCTCCCTGCCTGGATGATCGCGCGACTGCCGAAACAGGCAATGCTCACACCGGGGCAAAATCCCCCCGCCTGCTTACATGCGTGCTGTAATTTCCCCGGCCAGCGATACGGAGCACGATGGAAGCCATGAGGATTATGTACTCCCACTGCAGTAAATTGCGTGTGCGTGACCTTCTTGTGGTATGTACGGAGAAGAATGCAGCGGCTCGTGAAAGGGAAAGAGCCTCCTTCCGCAGAGACCACACCAGCCTCCCGGCAGTGCAGTGACCAACAGCGCCTCGCAAAGAATGTAAGTTAGTTGGACCTCACTCTGCCTGGCCGTCCGCCACCACCCGCCCGCAGCCCAACCTCCAAGCACATCCACTCTCCCTCATCCCTCCCGATCACCGCGCAACAGCTGAACGCCCTCGTCACCACCATGGCACCACCACCGCAACCACCAGCACCCGCGCCGCGCTGTGCGTCGGTGCGCCCGCCCGCGACACGACGAGCCCATGGGCCGTGGAGCCAAACAGAAGAAATTGCCTGCCCCAGCGCCGTCCAAGGCGGCCTCGTGCGCTGTTCACGGCGCCATTCCCGACTCGGCGCTGACCATTGGGCCCAATGCATTCAGCTCGTGCCGCCAACGATGATGCGCCGAATGAGACAGCCTCCCGCAGGCGCCACCGTCCAGGGTCCCAGGGCCCGAGCCAGGGGGGATGTCGCCTCTCGCTGGGCTGAATTTGGTCCCGCGGCTGTGGCTCCCAGTCAGTCGTGAGGCGTCGCCGCGGGCGCCCGGCTGGAGGAGGATCACATCGAGGACGCGCCTCGAGGAGCCAGACCCCTAGAGGCCCAGACGATTGTCGCCGCGAGCTCGCGACCGAGGCCACCCCTGTTTCCGCCGGCCTATTGAGCCAGCGCGCCTTCGCCGTGGGATTCTGCGGCTATTTCCCTTGCGCCGGCGGACGGCTCAACCTCTCTCCCCTTCATTTGCTTGTCCCAGCCCTGCCTGTTGTTGTTGAGACAAGCAAACGACTTTTGTCAGTGCGTTGCGCTGCTGTTGCCGCCGCCGTTGACGTCGACTCACGATCGCAGTCACGGACCTCAACGCTCATCGGCAACCACGGGCCACCACGATGATTCGCGCTGCTGCCATTCTGCTGGCCGTGGGGGCCGTCACCCCGGCCGCTGCCTCCGCCGCGGGCTCGGAGCGGTCATGGACCTCTCCCAAGGAGACGGATTCAGTCCTCATGGCCGAGGAGCAGCTGCAGATGGGATTCTCGCCGCGGCCCACGCCGGCGCCGCAACCCCGCGGTATCTTTGGCCGCATGGACCTGGTGCCGCGACTGGACGGCTATACCCTGGGGCCGGCGACCTGCGGATTCGTCAAGTCCAATGGGAGTGAGTGATGATCCAAAGCTTCCCGGACGCGACGAGAAATCTAGGACTCGCAGCATGCCAAACATAGGGCGTGGTTGCTGACATTTGGATGTCTAGACTCCTTCACTTGTGTTGCCAACACGGCAACATGTACCGACGTTAATGGCTTCATGGGCTGTTGCCAGCCGAATCAGCAATGCACCAGGATCCAGACGGTGTGCATTGACTATGCCTCTTCCAAGGCAGGAAAGTGTGATCTCTTGTCCGACTTTCACACCGTTTGTTGGTATGCCGTCCTATCTTAGCTCCGGCCCGTAACCTTTTCGCTGACTCAATCGATGCATATAGCTCGGCAACGGCGCCCGCCTGCTACACTTACCTCATGGAGAGGACCGGCGGCAAGAACTCTGGGAGCGTCGTCACGGCACTTGCGTGCTACACCACCTCGGGCACCGCGACCCTCCTAGACTACGACCCCTCTTGGTCCCGGACGCACAGCTTCGCCTCAAGCACCTCATCCACGTCGTCGTCTGAGTCCTCTACCACGGCCACTGCCACAACGTCGCAGACGTCTGCTGCAACTACCTCCTCGGACGGCGGTGACGGCGGCGGTGGCAGCAAGACCAATGTCGGCGCTATTGCCGGTGGCACCGTGGGAGGTGTCGCCGCCATCGGCCTCGTCGGCCTGGCTGCGTTTCTTCTGCTGCGTCGCAAGAAGAAGGGCAAGGACTCCGACGTGCACAGCTCTCCCCAACAGGCCATGTCCCAGCACACGGCCCAGAGCCCGCCGCAAGGATACCCCCCGACCTCACCAGCTCCCCAGAGCTATCAGGGCTACTCTCCCGCTCCTCAGGGCCCGTACGACCCCCACATGAGCATGTACAGCCAGCAGCAGCCCTACTCCCCGCAGAGCGGCTACCAGCAGCAGTATCCGCAGCAGTTCCAGCAGCCATACCCTCAGCAGGGCGCATACCCGCAGCAATACGGCGCCGCGGGTTTCCCCGTGTCGTCGACCGGCTCGCCGCCACCTCACACGACTCCGAGCCCGAACATGACGGACAACCGTGAGCACAGCGGTGTTCCCTCGAGCCCGCATGGCGCGTCGCCGCCCCCGCCGGGCGGTGAGCACGGCCACCAGCAGCCGCAAGAGCTGGGCACGGTGGCGCCCCTGGGTAACGAGGGCAACCGGGCTGAGCTCAGCTAGAGGGAGCGGACGGACGAGATGATGAGGTCAAGACACAGAGACGGGCGCAGAGATATCCCTAGTCGCAGAGTTGCTTCTGAGAGCATGCCGAGACGTGAGTGACGGGAGGATTCATTCTGGGGTCAGTTGGCGCAAAGGTTGTCTGCTCACGATCCGCCAAGTATTCTCTTTGCAGTCTTGGTATACCAGAGAGCATAGCAAGACGGGTGTAATCATTCCCTACATAAGCACACATTTTCGAAATGGAGGACATAATCCCAACGTATAAAGCAATACACTACGAGTAAAGTTTCATTATACGTGTCCCATGGAATTATAAGTGTATAGATCGTGCCTGCATTGCAAATCCCGTCCTTGGCCTTCGACAAAGTGTCATACGAAATACCGAGTCAACCGTTTCCTTGCCAGGCACCGCCCGGCAGAGTCTCCAAGCTAAGCTACGAAGCCTTGACAACGTTGTCATCCCAGTACTTTTGCCAGTCCACGACCTTGTTGTCCACGCGGGCCTCTTCGGCGGCGAAGACGAGGGCGTGGCTGCGGATGACCTCGTCGAGGGTGCAGCCGACAAACTCGTTCTGGGCCTTTTCGGCGTGCCAGGCGTGGTTCTTGACCATGTCGCAGGCCAGCACGAACTGGCGCGTCAGGCCCTTGTCGCCGCCGCCGTGGCCGAGGTCCTCGAGGCGGGGCTCGAACGTCTTGGTCTCGCCCGTGTTGAAGTCCTCGAAGACGATGGTGCGCGAGTCGGCGTAGATCTCGCCGTGCTCGCCGTAGAAGCGGGAGAAGCGCTCGCACTGGCGCTTGGTCTGGGCGGCCATGTGAAAGGTGACGCGCTTGGCGGGGCGGTTGGACTCTGGCCAGGTGATGGTGACGAACTGGTCGTCGCAGACGTTGTTGTCCGTCTCGAAGACGCAGCGGCCGAACCAATTGCGGGAGCTCACCACATCGGCCGGCGTGTTCTCGTCCCAGTCCTCCTCTAGAACCTTGGTCATGGCGGTGACGCGCTCATCTTGCGTCTTGTAGTCTTCAATGTCGTGCACGACGATGTCTATAGGCCACTTGGTGTTGCCGCGGCCGAGGCCGATGGTGTCTCCCAAGTAGATGTTCTTGGCCGAGTACTTGCACCCAGAGTCGCCGAGGGGGCACTTGGTGCAGTTGGTGGCGGAGCCGGCGGCGGCGGGCTTGCGGCTCCTCTTGAAGAACTGGACGTCGCCAGTGGAGGAGATGTGCTCGGGGAGGTGAGGCTCGCCCTGGCCGGCCTTTTCCGGGGAGCACAGCAGCCACAACAGGAGGTCGATGTCGTGGCAGCTCTTGGTGAGGAGAGATGGGGCGCTCGTCTTCTCGTTGCGCCAGTTGCCGCGGACAAACGAGTGCGTAAAGTGCCACCACCCCACGGGCTCGGTGTGCACGGCGCTGTTGATCTCGCCGAGGATGCGGTCCTCGACCAGCAGCTTGCGGAGCATGAGGTTGTGGGGGCTGTAGCGCAGGACATGGCCGATGGAGAAGATCTTCTGGCCCTGCAGCGGCTTGAGGGCGCGGTACATGGCGAGGCAGTCGGCGAGGTTGGTGGCCAGGGGCTTCTCGCACATGATGTGGATGTCGAGCGCGGCAAGGCCGACGACGACCTCGCGGTGCATCTCGTCGAGGACGCACACGAAGGCGCCGTCGACGCCCGGGGGGACGTTTGCCTCGCCGGCGGCGACGCGCTCACGGCGCTTCTGCTCGTACTCGACGAACTCGCGCCAGTTGGCGAAGCTCTGGCCCTCCTTAGGCCCGCCGTCGGGGCCCCAGATGTGCTTGCGGCCGAGGAGCTCGCGCTTGAAGCGGAGGGGCTCGGCGACGGCGGCGACGACGCCGTTGGAGACGGTGTCGATGGCGTTGGCGTAGCATTGGCCCCGGGAGCCGGCGCCGACGATGAGGAACCGCGGTGGAGAGGCGGAGAAGTCGGGCCTGGGCGGGCCGTCGACGTCGACGTTGCCCAGCGCGGGGTCCTTGACGCCAACCATGTCGCCAAGTGTCTTGTGCGCCCGCTGCAGAAGGGGGAGTGTAGTATGTAGAGCTTGACCTGAACTGATGGAAGGGACAGAGGAGATGCGATGGGCTGGGCCGAACTGTCACTCTGGTATACTTGGGTGTCCCTTGTTGCGTGTCGACGACGACGATGCAAACGGATGGTGTCTTACATCAAGTTGAGGATGGAAAGGGGGAGATGATATCTCGCCCGCGCGTCAGCGAGGGGAAGAGGACCAGCAGTCGAGGAGGAGGCGGTCTCCGGCAACGGACTCGCAAGCTGTTCGCCTAACGGAGCTGCAATTAACTCGACATGGATCGATGAAGCAGGTGACGATGTCCAAGTGGAACTCGGGGAGTCGACCAGAGCTTCCAGGTTTGGGGCCCCGGATGGGGCTCGCAGCCGAGCCGACCCAATAGCCGCTCGGCCATTGGGAATACGCAACGTTTCAGCGCTATGGGCAACCACTCAGGCCTTGCCGAACCCCTGGAGGGGGGCACACCATCACCCGTCAGCGGGGTTGCGGCACGCTGTAGGAGGGCGCCACTCTTGCCCACGCCGTACCATCCCGCGAGTGGGATGGAGGGGCACCTGCCGCCTCTCTCCGCCATCATTCGCTTCCAGCGAGCAGGGTCCCTTTGACGACTGCTTTCAAACGCCGACTCGACCGGGCAAGCACGCCGTCAGCGCCGGGTTTATCGTGACTGAAGAGTTGGCCGGCTTGTCACTGCTGAACTATGCCGACCGGACCGGACGCCGGACGCCCTGCCGCCGCCGGGAACAATGGCGCCGTCAAATCTGCCACTGACGATCCCCTTGTGTGGATCGACTGCGAGGTATGTCCGTCGCATTTTATGCTGCCTTGACTTCAATTCGGGTCACGCAAGACCCCAATGTCTGCTCTGGGCAGACGCGTACCAGCACCGTCAGGAATGCCAGACTCACCGGCCTGGTAGATGACCGGCCTCGACCCCGACAAGGAAGAGATTCTTGAAATCTACTGCATCATCACGACGGGTAGCCTGGAAGTCCTGGACGATGAGGGCTTCCATGCCGTCGTCCACTGGCCGCAGTCTCGCCTCGACGAGATGGACGAGTGGTGCACTGCCACGCACGGCAAATCTGGACTCACAGCCGCCGTCGTCTCCTCAACGACGACGCCCGAAGAGGCCGCCGAGGGCCTGTATCGCTACGTGACGAGGCTCATCCCTGAGAGCCGTAAGGGACTGCTCGCGGGCAACAGCGTCCACGCCGACCGCGCGTTCCTGAGGCGAGAGCCCTACGCCAAGGTCATAGACCACCTGCACTATCGGCTCCTCGACGTCAGTGCCATCAAGGAGGCGGCTCGGCGCTGGAGTCCAAAGCAGGTCATCACCAAGGCGCCGTCCAAGAAGGGGCGCCACGTGGCGAGGGACGACATCCTGGAGAGCATTGAGGAAGCGCGGTACTTCCGAGATGCCATCTTCAGAGGCGGGGATGGGGCAGCTTCGACGTGACGTTTGACACGGAGCTGAGGAAGACGCTCTTAGAGTGGTCGTTGGCAGCTGAGGCTATTCCCGGATGCGAGCAGCAAGGTTGGAGGCGCAGCCCTCCATTGCCACCGGCAACGCGGTTATTGACTTCCCGTCCGTCGATCAACCGATCCTTGGCGGAAAGATGCAGCCAAAGCCTTCCACGTCCATCACATCTTTGGCGTGATGCATGCTTGTATGCAGCTTGTCACCTCCACGCCTGCGTCCCGTTTCCTCAACTGGGTGGCCGGACCAAGGTGGTCCGGAGGTTCAGCATGGCGGGCAGTTGGCACTGTACGCGCTCTGCGAAAGTACGCGTCCAAAGACAGTGTCGATAACGCGCCAGATGCGCCGCTGCACCTACCCCTCCATCGTGCCACCTCAGGTTAGGACCAACAAAACAGTCTACCCCACCATCGTTCGTCAATTGTGAGCTCCATTTACGTAGCTCCCCTGTCATCTGAGAGCTCCCCTCTCTTGGCATCTTCTCTTGACCTTCGCATCCACGATTCTTCGCCCCGCACAGACTTCACGCGCCCATGCCCATTGCCTCAACCATGGACGTCAAGACTGTCGAGTTCAAGCCTTTTCAGGACCAGAAGCCGGGCACGTACGTCGCTCCCTCACCGCTCCAGGCACAATCAGCTCCAGTCCCCCCACCTCCATCTCGTGATTCTCCGAATCTGCTGTTGGGCGACAACTGACGCAACGTTTCACGTTGACAGCTCGGGCCTGCGCAAAAAGGTCACCGTCTTCCAGCAGCCGCACTACAGCGAGGCCTTCGTCACGAGCATTCTCCTCTCTATCCCTGAGGGAGTCGAGGGTGAGGAACGCCGCCGCACAACGGCCCCCGCGCTCGCGCTGACCCAAGCCTGCAGGCTCCTTCCTCGTTATCGGTGGTGATGGCCGCTTCTGGAACCCCGAGGTCGTCCAGCTAATCGCCAAGATCAGCGCCGCCTACGGCGTCAAGAAGCTCCTCATCGGCCAGCACGGCATTCTGTCAACGCCCGCAGCAAGCCATGTCATCCGCCTCCGCAAGGCCACCGGTGGCATTTTGCTCACGGCCAGCCACAACCCCGGCGGTAGGCCTTCTGAACTGTCATGAGGTCATCCATCGTGCGTGGCTAACGCTCTTTCTCCAGGTCCCACGAACGACTTTGGCATCAAGTACAACCTGGCCAATGGAGGCCCTGCCCCCGAGTCCGTCACCAACAAGATCTACGAGACGTCCAAGACCTTGACGTCGTACAAGATTACATCGATCCCGGACATCGACATTTCGACCATTGGAACAAAGACATATGGCTCCCTCGAGGTCGAGATCATCGACAGCACTGCCGACTACGTGGCCATGCTCAAGGACATCTTCGACTTTGACACCATCAAGAAGTTCTTCTCGGCCCACCCCGACTTCAAGATCCTCTTCGATGGCCTCCACGGCGTGACTGGCCCCTACGGAAAGGCCATCTTCGAGAAGGAGCTGGGTCTGTCCGGCGCCACGCAAAATTGCATCCCTAGCCCCGACTTCAATGGCGGCCACCCCGACCCCAACCTCACCTACGCGCACTCCCTTGTCGAGGTCGTCGACAAGAACAACATTCCCTTCGGTGCTGCCTCGGATGGTGACGGTGACCGCAACATGATTTACGGAGCCAATGCCTTCGTCTCCCCCGGTGACTCGCTTGCCATCATCGCCCACCACGCTCATCTTATCCCGTACTTCAAGAAGAACGGCGTCAACGGCCTCGCTCGCTCCATGCCCACATCTGGCGCCGTCGACCTCGTCGCCAAGGCGCAGAAGCTGGAGTGCTACGAGGTGCCCACTGGGTGGAAGTTCTTCTGCGCCCTTTTCGACGCCAAGAAGCTGTCCATCTGCGGCGAGGAGAGCTTCGGCACGGGCAGCGACCATATTCGCGAGAAGGACGGCCTGTGGGCCATTGTTGCCTGGTTGAACATCATTGCCGCCCTCGGCGTCCAGAACCCCGGCGTCAAGCCTTCGATCAAGCAGATCCAGAAGGACTTCTGGAACCAGTACGGCCGTACCTTCTTCACCCGCTACGACTATGAGAATGTCGACTCAGATGGCGCCAACAAGGTCGTCGGCGAGCTCAACAAGCTCGTTGCCGACTCGAGCTTTGTGGGCAGCAAGATTGGAGGTGAGTTTGAATCTTCAGTAGCGATGTCCAGACCGCTAACAGCAGCAGAACGCACCGTCACCAAAGCGGGAAACTTCTCCTACACGGATCTGGATGGCTCCGTCGCCTCCAACCAGGGCCTGTACGCGTGCTTCTCGTCTGGCAGCCGCATCGTCGTCCGCCTTTCCGGCACAGGCTCGTCTGGTGCCACTATCCGGCTCTACATCGAGCAGCACAGCAGCGACCCCTCGACCTACGACATGGATGCCCAAGACTTCCTCAAGGCCGAGGTCAAGTTCGCCACGGAGTTGCTCAAGTTCAAGGAGCATGTCGGGCGTGATGAGCCCGATGTTAAGACGTGAGGAACAGCTTGGCGTTGCGAAAAGGGCGATGAGAGTCTCGCCTATCGGGTAGCACAAGAGGAGGTAGCTTCACGGGAGGGGGCAGTTTCATGGTTCGAACGTACAGTAGCACATTCCGTCCATCATGCACCGATAGCGCGGCCGAGCCTTGCGGACTCCCTTTTGTTTGCCTTTGTGCCAGATAAGAAAACGAAATTGAATGATTTGATGCCGAAGCGGCCCAGTCCCGTCCCTGGATGCTTTTGATCTGCCGTTCTATGCCAAATTCGATGCCAGAGACTGCCTGCGCCACGCTAATGATTGCAACAACGAAACATGCGAGCCCGGTTCTTGCAGTACATCACCATCATCGGCTGCATCATGGCTAAGCAAGTGACACGTAAAATGCGATGTTAGACGCCGTTCGCTGCCATGACGGCCGGACCGGCTGCTGGCGGGTAGAAGAATTCCTCGAATCGACGAGCAGCTGCACAAGTCAGCATCGTGACAACCGAACCCCTAAGTGTAAAAATCTAGTTGGACGCTGCGTCGAATCTTCGACATACCTTCGTCGCTGATAAAGTTAATCTCAAAGGCGCCGATGCGGCCGCGGCGCTGATTCTGCTGCCGATACTGTCTGCAAAAGACGTACAGCTGGATGTCCGCCAGCCGGACCCTGTGTCGGGAGATTCGTTTCAGCCATGTCGGTGAAGATGATTGATGCGTTACTATTACGACGACAGATGATCAGATCAGAACACTAGACTGCGAGGTGCTGCTGCTTGTCGCTCCCTACCAAACGCCGTCCACACGGGGCACTGGCGAAGCTCGCCGTCCCAGACAGCGGCGTGCAGGCGTAGAGCTTTGGTCGCCCGATCTTCGTATACGATGAGGGAGTGTTTGAAGCCGTCATCGAGGATTCGTCTAGGGCCATGGGTCAGAACGAAGCTGAGCAGGGCTACGGAAGGAGTGTTGTTCCTACGCTTGGAAGTGCTTCTGCTCCTCTTTAAGCGTATACTCTTCTGGGCCCAGTTGAACCGTGAGTCGATTCCGAGCCTTGAGAGAGACGAACGTCGAGTGCATGAGCACGAGTTCTTTCATACGTTAGCCATTCGGCCAGCAAACAGACCAAAGGGTGTATAGACGTGGCACGCATACCTTCCCATGTCATGAAACACAAGACTGCCCAGGTCTTGGAGCGTTTCTCGGAGCGACTCCATCGCTTGAACTGCAAGCAGCTGCCGTTTCTCTCGATGCAAAGTTCATGAACACCGCGTAGCGCGAACCACGGCGTCCCCTGATCGAATATGCGCAAAAGCAGGTACGGGGATGCGTCTCGGCTATTCCGATACACTGTCAACGAGATTTGGTCGTCGTCGAAGGAACTAATGCCGTCAGAGGGGGCATAGCGTCAGGTACATGAAGCAGGACTCTAACCGTCGAAACAGAATCTTGGAATTGGGCGGAACATCCAGGTGGCCCCAGGGACGATGTGGACCCAAGGATTTGGACCTGCCAAAGGAGTCAATGAACGTCGGCACTCTCGCAACGTTGCGACCTGTACATTTGCTGCCGCCCAAGGGCGGTTCGAGAAGGCAATGGGAGCGAGAATATGTTTTCGGCCCAGTGTACAGCCTATTTTGCCGAGTCAGGGCCTGGCCACGAGGTCTCTGATATTTGATCGTGCAACTTACCGGATCGAGGTCGACGGCGGGTAGAGCATCATAGCGTACGATGGGACCAACTTGCACCGGGGGAAGAGCTTTACAAGCGGTAAGCGGAAGCGGTAAGCGGAAAGGGCACCCTCGATGCGCAAGTGGCGGCTAACTTACGAATGCCTCTGGCGTCGCGGAGCCGCAGTATTTGGCGGCGTAGCTTCTCCAGCAGGTTCAGGTCGAAGTTGGGTGACCTATGGTCGAACGTCAACATATGCGCAACATCGATGGTCGGCAAAACGCCGCACCTGACAAGCAAGTCCCGCAGGCAGCCCAGATACTGGTTGTAAGCCATAAAGCGGCTGGGCAGCGATAGCCCGCCTGCCTCGTTCGTCATGGTATGATACATGTTTCGCCACCTGTTCACCTTGGATCTCGTACGGTCCTCATAATGCGAAGTGACGTCCCTCAGAGACCTGGATAAACAAGGTAGAAGGATGTTGAGGGGGTTGAGAATTAAAGGGACGCGGTCCTGGTGAACCTGGGAGAGGTCGGCCAGTTCGCGGAGAGTCCGGCTTCCGGCCCGAACCTCCTCCATTACCGCAGTCAGGTGAGGGTTGCTGGGCTCGTTCAGGGCAGCGCGCAAGCCCTCGAGCTGGAACGCGACGACATCGGATCTTTCGGCCTCGACACAGCAGCCTCGGAGCAGATGGGCATCGACCTGGGTAGCCAGTTCCATAGCGTCACACTACCCCAATGCCTCGGCGTGTAGCTCAGTCAGACTGCCATGACCGACGGCTGGGGTCGGGCACTGATCTGGCGATGGGTGACGGCTCCGTTGGTGGTCCCATGGTCCTCACGCGCGCAGGACCTTTCCAGAAACACCAGCGGGTGCGCACGTCGCCAGACGGCAAGCGGGCTTCGCCTTGCCTTGGCCGAGTGCAGGAGGTAGCAATAAACGGGACAATTGGGTCGCAGTAGCCCAGACAGCAACGAGGTAGAGGGCGGCAAGTGGTCAAGTGGTCGCGCAAAAAATCAATGCGGCTCTTCTGAGGGCCGATTGACACGGACTCTTATCCCAACGGGCGGGGGCTTGCCAGCGAGCCTGCAGCATCCGTCCAGGAAGGGGTTAGAGCCACCTGCAGCATTCGAGGTCCGACGACTCTGGAACAACACTCGTTGATGACAGAGGCACCCGAAATGAGTGCCAGCACGACAACGACCTTGGCATTGGTGCTGGGGTCGCAGGCCACTCGCGGCAGCGCCCACTGGAAACGACGACCATTTAGCCGTCCCGACATGGCCTGCACGACTGAGGTCGGGGGTCTCTCGGGACCGTCTCGTGGCGGGCGCCGCAAGAGGTCGCTTGATCGTCAGCCCGGAGACTGGCTAGTCCGAGAACGACGTCCGTGGTGGGCCGGCCACGCTTCTTTTCTTCTGCGACGACGTCTTTGTTGGCGCGCCGTGTGCACATCACCAGGCGCGGGCGGTGTGTTCATAACGACCTTGCGCAGGCGCGGCAGCTTCTCAGAGCCTGCCACGAAAGCAAGCGTCTGTCGACGGGCTGGCTTGCACCGCGCGGAGTAGCTCGACGCATGGGAGTGGACGCTGGCGTGAGCACGGCCGGGGCTAGACTGGAGCGGCACTTGCATAACGCATCCGATGCTGGTGCTGGTGCTGCTGGTGCTGCAACGGCCAGCCGACGGCGGATAGTCAGTCTGTCGCCCGCGAGAGGCCCAGCGACAGCCGTGCATGGCATGGTTAACAGACGTCTGTTGCGCTGGCGGGGCTGATACCCCATCCCGTCCGGCTAGGGTCCTGGAGTGCGTCGGGCAAGCAGGTGTTGCGGTCGCGACGTCGCCATGCATAGCGTGCTTGCAGGCCGTGATTGGGCGCGATGAGTTAGTGAAGCCGGACGTCGCAGCGCACCAAGGCCGCACGACAGCTTGCCGGGCGATGGCACGGCCCGAGGAGCGCGTCGACAAAACTCGGTGTTGAGCAGGGAAGCCATTGGGCCCGGGCAAAGCTGCTTCTGCCTGGGAGATGGTGGGAGATGCCCGTGATTAAATAGCTGCACTTTGCCAGAGGCGAGGCGGACTCTGTCTTGGGGCCAGTGTAAGCGCAGGCAGGCGCAGCCCGCCTCGGACTTGGCCTCAGGCACCACCTACCCAGGCAGCCCAGTCACATGTCTCGTCACATGAGCCCCTTCTGAGAGTCACCTTCATGAGGACAATCCGCCCGTTTGCTGATGGTCAGGGCGTATGCATGTCCCTCTTTCACGCATCACAAGCGACCGCGCACGTCAAGCAATAGTTGTACATATGTTCTCATTCATAAGTCTCGTGGCGTTATGATGATCGCGATCACGGTGGCTCACGACGACAAGCGACTGAGAAGATAGCCTGCAGCTCACCGGCCGCCATACAGATCACAAAGTCATTGTTTGAGAGACCCAGTTCCGTTGATTCCGGCACCTGAAAAGCAAAAGCGCGCATCCCGTCCCGCAGTCATACAACACCGCCATTCCCAAGATACAAGGAAAAAAGATTAAGACCACCCAACTCAACCCGGTGCGTCCGGCTTAAGAAGAGTCATCGGCCTCAGCCTGCGAAACGTGTTAGTTCACTCTTGTCAAGCGTGCCTCAGGATAGAGTGGCGTTCCTACGTTGTAAGCCTGCTTCTCGTCCTCGTAGCGCTTCTTGTCAGCAGCGGCCTTGGCCTCATACGGGGCCCGCTGCTTGTCATTCAGGGCCTTCCATCGCTCGCCCAGGAGCTTGCCGACCTGGCCGAAGGTGATGCCGGGGTTCTCCTCACGGACGTTCTCGCGCTGCTCGTTGGCGAAGAACATGTACGCAGAGAGACCACGCTTGGGAGCGTTGGGGTCTGGTGCCATCAGTGGCACGATCTTGGGCATGGCGCAAGTGCAGAGAGGAAGCATGGTTGCTGCGCAATAAAGCTGCAGCCTCCAGCTGCCCGTCTGGCTCGCGACGGATCTTACGGGGGAAAAGAGCACGACTTACCCTTCTTGCCGCGTCTCTTGACCTCCTTGGCGCCACGCTTGCTAGCTGCTGCCTTAGGCATTTTGATGAATTGAGTCTGCGTGGTTCGTGTCAGCAAGCGGGATTGAATAATGGGTAGCGAGATTCATAAAAGTGCAGAGAGACGTGGGTGCAGTGGCAGGCAGGGTGGAAACGTGTTGCGGCGCGACGAGCGAAGTCAATGGTGAAGTGGTGACTGCGTACGCGCTGCGAGCCGCCGATGGGGCCGGTGACGCGACACGCGATTGTGTGGTGGAGGTCGGTGTAAGTGAATTGAGGGCCAGGGTGTTGAGTGTGAGTGAGGGCGAAGGCGAAGAGGCATTGGCGCCGCCGCCGGGGGCGCGTCACGTTGTGAAGTTCAAAAAGAGGGCAATTGAGGCTCTCCACGTACCTTGGAAGACTTTTTAGCGACGAAGAGAAGACGGTGACGGAACCGTGGTCTGCGATGCGCGAGCGCTGGTCAGCGTGTTGACCTTGGCCAGAACGGGCGCCAACGGCGCGAGGCGGTTGAAGGACGAAGAGGCCGCCATGAAGACGACGCGATTGAAGCACGATGCACCAAGGCAAACGGGCTCGCAATGCACAGTCGAAGTCAAAACAGGCCAAAAAAACGGCCGGCAAGGAGAAAAGCCGGGCGGCAAGCCGTCCGGCGACGATGCGGCGGCCGTGACCTTTGCTTTGCAGTGGTGCAGTGCCAGAGAGAGGTACTCACCAAAGGCGCGTGCTGAGTTGCGAAGAGACGCGGTTGCGGTTTGTATGGGAGGTTTTTGGGTGGGAGTTTGTATGGGAGAAGTGGGAGAGAGAGGGGAGCGCAGTATTGGGGGGGGAGGGCCAAGCACCCTTTTTACTATGGGGGAGTGATTGGGGGGAAGCACGCGCGCGAAAGCGAGCGAGCGGGTGCGGGTGCGTGTGTGTGTGTGCGCGCGTGTGTGTGTGTGTGAGTGCGGGCGGGCGGGCGTGTGTGTGGAGGAACGCGGCCGGCCCAGCTAACTCGCAAGTACCAGCCACGGAGGAACTGGTACAAGGGGTACCTGGGCCAGCTCCTCTGCGCGTACCTGCACATCCGGCTGGTCTGAGGCGGTCCCCCCTCCCTTCCGCCTCCAGTCCGCCTCCAGTCCCCCCTCCCAGCCCAGCGCTGCTGCTCCAGCTGTGCCCCCAGCCAGCAAGGAGTGCCCGACGGGCCAAGCACCACCGGGCACCTAACGGACGTAGTGGGTAGGTCGCCCAGCAGGGCAACAGCGCCAGCGCCAGCGCCAGCGACGGCGACTGCGCCAGCACCCGCAGCACCCCCCCAGCATGGAACCTGGAACGGCCAAGAGCGGGCAGCCCGCCAGCCATCCATCCAGCCGCCAGTGCCAGGGAGCGCAGGGTTGGCCTCAGCAGCGCCGTGCCCATGCCTCCTTCTCGCACGAGTGCAGCACACACCGCCGTCGCAGTACTGAGGTTGCTCGTCGAAGGCCGGGGATGGCGTCCGGGCGGGTAGGCGGGCACTCACTCACACGCGCACGCCTCACCTTGGCTGGCCGCCGAGCGCAGACTCCCAAGGACATCCATGTACGGCACACTTGTGCAGCATCGTCCGTGGGCATCAGATG